CAGCCGAGTGTAATGTTTTTGTAAGTAAACTGAAAAATAGGAAATCAGGGTTTTTTTTTCATTTTATATTTCATATTTTTGGCGAGCTAGTCAGGTGTTGTTCATTTGTTGGAAGACGTTATCTCCACATGCTGTGCCCAGTTTGGAGCCACGCACACCCACATTTCACATGACTCACCGTACCCTGCTGAATCCAATAATAGAATGCTATTAAAAAACTAAAGCTTATCTATTGTCTTGTCTGTTGAGTCGTCATTTTGCCCCAAGATGGCTAACAAGGTGTAGTTTTCGGTCAATCGAGGAATACCTGGCGTTAATAAAAGCGTCACCGTCCATTGCGGTAAAAAAGAATTCCGACGCAAGGAGGTCGCATGGCTTCCTTCTTCACGATGGCTCAGAGTCCTGCGTCGTAATCTGATTAGGAAGGGATGCGTCGGGGGTTATAATGAGGGGTTCCTGACTCCCTCTCCATCCCCCCCCCCCCCACGTTGTGGCCACCTTGGGGCGTATAAGCCAGGGTATTTGTGCCGAAGTCGAAAGGGCTGATTGTCTTGACAATGGAGCAAATGGGGTGATTTGCTCGACCACGCCTTCTTATTAAAGGGACTAGTCCGAGTTTGGCTTGGTTTGGATTTTGGGATTCCTGATTTCCGATTCCCCCCCCCCCCCCCCCCATGAGGTAAAGCTGGGGTAACATTGTAATGGTGCCAATGTTGGATGCTGGTTTAGAGAAAAGATTGTTGGTGAAAACGGAGACGTGTTATTAAAGTGATCTTTGTCAGTCCTGCTGTCTTATTAGCCTAAAGTCTAATTATGTGCTAGAAACCTTAATGGGTCTGCTGAAAAGTCCAAGTCAATCCGTGTACATTAACGTGATGGTAGAGTCCTTATATTGTTAGAATATCATCCAAGTTTAGGTCGTGCCTAACAGTACAGTTTGCTTTCTAGAACGGTTCATTTTACTTTGCACTTCCCTGGGACATGGATATCTAATTCGACACGTGGATGTTCTGGAGATTGTCCAGAACTGGCGAAAAGTTATTGGCAAGAAGCAGTGTCCTGTTTCCTTCAAATGATACTCGTTGGAGCTGAGACTGTGCTTCCCTTTTAAAAGAGGAGTCCAAGTTTATATCCAGGGTGACAAAAGTGGGTGGCACAGGTGGCTTGTGCGTAAAGCGCTTGCCTCTCACCAAGGTGACCATGGTTCGAATCCTGGCCGCGGATCGCATGTGAGTAGAGTTGTGCGTTGGTTCTCTCCTGTGCCACGAGGGTTTTTCTCCGGGCCCTCCGGTTTTCCTCCCTCCGGAAAAATCAAACACTTTCGATCTCAGGCTGTGCTCCGTGGTCATATATGGGTCGATGTGGCCGGCAGCCATAGGCCCCTTTACGTGGCAGCGGCCCGACGACGTTGTAGCCGCGTCCTTCGCAATTCAGCATCCCAGCTGCGAGTAAGGATGATTAGCCTCCCAAATTATTATTATTATTATTATTATTAGCTACACAGAAACAATGAGGGGGTCCCACACTTCCTCAAAATGGAATGTGTATACAGAGTCTCTTGTTGTTTAAAAAAGTTGATCTAATAAACAAGAAAAGTAATTGTGTCCGTTTGATTCCAAGCCCTTGCTGTCCCAGAAGGATATGTACAAGCGAACAATCTTCTTTATGCCTTGCCCAAGATTCATCATTTATTTGCCAATTATCGTCTTCAAGGATGTAGGATTGTCTTACGCAGGCCTGGATCCAATCCAGCTCATGGGTCAGAAAATTAACTCCGAAGGATCACATTTGCAAGAATCATCCTCCTTGTTTTACAGCCTGCAGCCGGACTGATATTTATGCCGGAGGCTTGCCGGTTACGATACCCAAGCCGTGAAGGTTATCCCCTCTCTCAAGTTTAACATTCCTGACTTATATTTCTCGCCATCTGCCCAACAGTCCTTCCAGAAATATAAACTTAAATGCTTAGAAATTAATTTTCAAATGTCCCCGCAATCCTTGAAATGAACAGGCTATTCTTATTCAGTGTCTTTTGGTTCATCCAAGAGGTATTGGCAATTGTTAAAGACTTATTATTCAGTATGTAAAGTTTCTTTCAAGAATTATTATTCCTGACAAATTTTGTTTTTTTGCGTTAGTCTTGTATGAATGAGCTTGCCCTCTCACGCCATCTGATGCACTGTTTTTTGGGGTGTTTTGTTTTCATCGGTCTATTTTTAGACAAGATGGGATCCAGATGGTGTTTTTATGAGTCTCGTGTGTCATCTTCACGGAGGATGCAGACAAAAATTTGATGAGGACCAATTAAAATAGAGGGCATAGTCAGGTGTAGCGCACACATGCTCGAAGGAGCCCCACCTTCAGAAAAGGACAAGGAAGGCAATAAAAAACTGCAACTTTTGAGACTACCCAAAAAATCACTGTTTTTCAATTGCTTAAAAAAGTGTATTCAGTACTTCTTGTCACTCATCCCTGGACTCTACATATAGTACATATAAATACCAAATATGTACAGTTTTATTACGTTTGATTCACCATGTTGTTTTGTGAAGCTGTTTTAATATTATACAGGAGGGGGGGGGGGTCAAATTTCAGCTTTTAAGCTGATTTCAGCATTTTTTGTTTTGGATTTTCCCCTCACTTGCTGCGTGCAAAGTACATGAGATTTCCAAAGTTTGGCTTGTTTGCACCTTTTTCTGCTCTTTTGAGCTATTTTTATCAGTGGTCACTAACACCCCTGCTGTATATGTACCAGTACCTGCAAACTATCAGTATTGAAATTTGAATCCACAAACTACGAGTGTTTTTTGATTCGTCATGGACTGTCAACGTGCCCAATCCACGATATCTCCAACCTATGCTGTCTACCTGACAGGAAAGCGTAAAGTTCCTCCTAACCCGACAAAAAAATAAAGAAAATATTGCAAAATGTCCTGTAAAATTCGGAGAACTAATTCATATTGAACTAATGTAGGTCGTAGTACAATTTGAAATCCTGAATTCGATTATACCACAAAAGTTGAGAACTTTATTCTCATTTTTTTTTTAATGTCGTTTACCCTAGCAGTGCTGAGATCTGATTAAATTTGCCCAAAGTGCCATCTATTGAGTAGAAGGTTCCCAACTTCACTGTTTCTGAGCACAAGTTTTTTATTACCAAATTGCTCACAGACCCCAAATTTGGTGAAATATTTTCTACACTCTAAAGACTAAAAAAAATGTACACTTTCTACATCTCGAACTTAAATTGACGACGCACAATTGCATATCTTCTTCAAATCTGTGAATTTGACAGAATGTTATGTTTTTTTAAACGTCATGAGCAATAAAAAAAAAAAAAGATAAACTTTTCAACTCATTTTTATGACTCCCAGTCCCCATCTCATACAGTGTCCCCATTCCGTTCCCTCATAACTGCACCGGATCGTGTTAATTCCGAGCAGCTCTTTTTATTTCTCATTGGGGATTTGGGGACCTCAATGCAGTCTAGTTATCGGTATCAAAATGACTCGCTCAAGACTACAGGGATATTAAGTTGCTCTCCCATGGCAGTCGTTCATGTCCTGTTTTTGGTGTCGAGCCTGTTTTTCTTCCTATGTCCTGTTTAGTCGAAACGACTGTGTGGTGTTTTGCAGCGCTGCTGTCCACTGTACAGTCGATGTTCCAATTTTCTTTCAGGAAATTAAAACAAAAGTAACTTAATCTTGGCAGCTTCTGTTTTTGTTTTTTTTTGGATTGTTTTTTTTGGTCATCAGGTCCTTTTCATTAAATCCGGTTCATTTGCTTCACAACTTCAGGTCCAAAAAATTCTGGCCTCATTTTAAAAAAAATTGAGTTTGGAAGTTTGAATAACTTGTTTATTCAGGGATTAAACTTTCATACATTTGTCGTTCTATTAATGTGGGGTCCACTTTTGTTCTTGTCCCTGTTACATCTGACATCTGACACCCCCCTCAACTTTTTTTTCGTGACCCAAGCTGTATTGACTTTTTAGCCTCGAGCTTTGCGCATCTTTTGATATGAAAAACATAAAAATCGGACCACGGCGAAAAATTTTCCGGCATTACACGCCATGAAAACTGAATTTTCCCATATACGTCGTGTACACAGAGCAGAATTACCATTCGTACATATGAATAATTAATTATCCATAATTCCAAAACCCTTTGACCTATAGTCATGAAATTGCTTGGGTATGTTCATGATGAGTTGCTCTATACCTGTACCAAGTTTCAAAATTTGTCGTCACTCAATGGCTGAGATCTTGGGGGGGGGGGGGCAGAATCCCCCGGCTGAGCGATGGTCAAAATAACACGGCCCTATTAGGGTTAATGCAGTCGTCCTCCAAGAGTGATCATGAATAGCAAACTACCTACCCAACAAACAAACAATTGTTAGAAGTCATTCTTAATGATATGTGAATGGCAAATTACTAAGTTACAAGGTAAATGGGGACAGGAAGAATACCTTTTTTTAAGGACACTAAATTTATTGAATGACCCAAATGTCCTCTTTCTTGTGGCGAGAAACAAATCAGGTTATTGTTGGTGGCCTTCGTAAAAAAATTTGAATGAAAATCTTCAATCAATGCTTCATTCCTCTGTGGCTAGAGATTGTATACCACATTCAGACACCCTGCCGTTCTTGTTGTATACAGGTTTTTTTATGTTCAGGGGACTATAACATTACAACTCAAGATTTTTTAGGAGCGACTGCTTCTGGTATTTCATCTATGTCCTTGAAAGATGCTTGAGACATTTTTTTGAAATCTATTTTCTGGTCATTTGTCATTCCACATGGTTGGAGTTCGCACGGAGCTGAAATTGGTTAATAAATGCAAAAATTAATGTAAGCTGTATTTATGAAATCAGTGGATTTTTGAACACTTGTGCGTCTTTCTGAAAGAATATTTAATTCCACTGTACAAAGAACATAGGGATTTATGGCATGCATATGGAATGAATAATAACGGATGGATGTTTGTTTTGATTTGCACACAGCCGAGTGATAATCCAAAGCTGAAGCGATCCAACTCGTCGGTTTGTTTGGAGACATTTGATCTCCCCGATCCCGCCAGCGAGTACCGAGACGAAGACAACAAGACTCCGACGGGACCCATCCCAGTGGCCTCCTGCGACATCGGCGACGTGGTGATTGATGGTTTGGCGTTCGCCGGGGAACCCTCAGAGATGACGACCGAGACGGGACTGGAGCGAACAGACCGGCAGAAGCAGATCAACATCCCGATCTCTGGCGGGGTGCGGCGCATGCTATCCTCTCGCTCCAACGGCCGGGATATCAAATACGCCACCTACTCCAGTTCCCGCCGGTCGATCTTCGCCGAGTCCCTCTACGACAACCTCAGCGATGAGGAAAACGTGCTGGACGAGGACTTCCTGTCCAATAAGAACGCTGGGAAGTGGTCCTACGCCGACAACCACGTCACGAATGGGAGCCGGAAAACCGTACCGGGCGATTTTCCCACGCAGAGTGAGGACTCTGTCACGCCCACACCTGTGAAGCGGACAAAGTCAAGGGAAGCCGAAGCCATCTCCTCCGGCAAAAGTTCCCGAGAAAGCACCCCTCGTCACAAACCCAAGATAGTCATCAATCACACCACTCACAAAAAAGTCGACAGTGCCGTAAGCCTGGATTTACCCAGTCCGCCAGAGAAACTAAACAGTATCACCTCGGACAATTGGGAGGCAGGGGAGGGCGGACTTCGCCCACGCTCCAACACCGCAACAAGCCGCACCAGCTCCAATGGCAGCAGCCGTGGTAGCACCAAGCGCCGCGGCTCGCGCAAATCAAAAATTAAAAGTTTAATCGTTGGATCGACCACCGACCCGCTCAGCGACGTGGAAAATGCACAGGAACACTTAGCTCAGACGCATTCCCTCCTACAGGCCTACGAACTCCACATGCAGAATATGAACGACAAGGACGACTACGATAGCGCAAACGCAGACCTGGAGGCTTTCTCGCCGCGACCGCCGTCCACGAGAAGGTCCTCGTCCTTCAAACGGAACAATCTGAGGACGGGGGTTGGGGGTAGCGAAGGCGGAAGCAGTTGCATCATGGGAGAACTTGGCACCCTAACCTCGAGCGAGGGACATTACTCACAGGGTACTGATGATGATTTTCTGGACATCGAGAACTTGGCACTAAAGGACGATGTAAGTTCAAACTATTGTTTTAATATTTTGATGTCCTTTAACTCGATTGACAACGTAAGTTGTGATTGTTCACTAGTAACAGGGTTCAGTCCTTTTTTAGTTCCATTGTCTTTTAAAATCAACTGCGAAAAATGGAAAGAAATTTAGTCGACATGAACAGTGCATTGCATTTATATTTCATCTTATTTTCAGTTTCTGTTGAAAGTTTTTGTTTTATCCAGCATTTATTGTCCCTGGACCTTCAAATCTAAATTTCTAATCAGTCAATGTTTTCATATCAACTGCTTCAAAAGTACAAATGCATCATTCGAATACACTTGTTGTTTTTTTACTTAAATAAAATAACCCACAGCGGCTAAAGGCCTTTCTGCAATTGAATTTTAAGAACAGCCAAGAAAAAAAAGCTCTGGAATTTTTAGACCGTAAAATCATTTTTTTATTTATCCTGGCAAATCCGAATGAAATATTGCCGGTATTTAAATAACCAACACTTGATTGCATTGGAAGAGATTCTCTCCATCAAACATAAATCACCCTGAATAAGATCCTTCGTTGGACCCATCACGTTGTCAGCATCAACCAGATTAAATTTCAGCATTCCGGTCGCCTTTTTTTTTCTTTTCTAGAATCTCCGATTATCGGAATTCTAGAAATGAGCCAGTTTCCTGAATGTTATGACAGCCACGTGTGAATGACAAGCGAAGGATTTGGACAGATGGAATGTCATTAAAATCCTATCTGTTGCAGAAAAAATATGAGGAAATTAACGGTGTGTGTTGAAGGGGTGGTGGGGGGAGTTAATTGATTGCATGGGCACAGGTGCAGTGTTTTTAGGACCCAAATTATTGGGGGGGGGGGGGGTTGGTGAACTACCTTTTTGTGGGCTCTGTAGATGCTTTTAGGTGTTGACCAGCCAAATTTGCTCTCTTTGAAAGGTTTAACTGGTTGATGTGAAATTTTTTTGGGGGGGAGGAGATGTTTTTTTTTTATATATTAGGCTTATCTAAGCAGTTGTTATTTTGTGGAAGTGATTAGCAAAAAAAATGTTTTTGCAGGTTGCTATTTTATTTTGTTGGCATAAAACACATGTCCCTTAGTTGAACTGTCCTCCAAACTAGTCCAGGCTCAATGAAAATTGTGTTTATTAAACCTTTTTGAAAAATACTATTTATATATCACACCAAGGTTGACCTATTAAAGCGCATCATAATTTTATTCACTTTATCTCAATCACGCTCATTTTGGACGTTTATGCCCTTGAATCTCTGCGATGTCCTAAACAGATGTGCGGAGCCGCCCAATTAATATTATTCCCAATAATAATGCGGGCCAGCTGGGCCGGTCGAAAGGAATGTGTAGATTATAATCAAACTGAATAAAAACTGTCGCTGCAGCTGACAAATCGTTGAATATACGAGTTTGATAAGCTGCGTTGCACATTTGTTTCTCAGTGTGACAAATGTGCACGTTGCATGTTGCACGTTGTAACATGTATCGGTACCTTCACTACAAGGGATTTGTTTTTCAACGGAATTGTGGTACAATGTAAAAACAATTTTTTTCTGAGAATGATATGGCAACTTCCGGTTTGTCCTAAACGGACGGCGCACTCTAGAAATGGCAAGTCACAGAAATGAATTGTTGTTGAATTTATGCAAAAAAAAAAAAAATAACTCCGGCAAAGTTTATTCGCGGTTTATTTTGTATTTTGTAGTACTTATCCAATTTCTGATTGTGCGTGCGTGTGCCTGGGACGTGTGGTCACTTTTTTCTGTGGAGTGTGCGCAGAATGGAAACGTTGGGAATCGTTTGAGTATTTGAAAGGTGATTTACTGTGGATGCTGCATAGCAGTGAGCACGTTAACTTTCATTTTGCTGATGACTTTTCTCGGACATGGCCGTGATGGAAGAAGGGATAGAGTGTCTCAGCATTGATACAGAGGTGCAAACCAATTTTTTGGAGGGACATAGTTCCTGAAAGTTTGGCTTCTGGTTTTGCCTCACCCAAGCTTTCCACCTTGAAATCTTTTGTTTTTCATGCTTTTGAATATATTTCCAACAAATGGGTAGACTGCCAACATAGGGCTGGATAGCTGACTTGGTTGACTACCGGAACTGATTTCTAGAGGTTGCAGGTTCGCATCCAACTCCAGTCGATTCCGCTATCCAATGTTATATTTATAACATTGTTTCCATAAGGATGTTAATAGTGACAATTCAAACAGCAAGGGCTGGATAGCTCGGTTTGGTCAAGTACCGGAACTGGATTATGGATGTCGTGGGTTCGAATCTCACTCCAGTAAATTTTTTTATCCTACCTTATATCAATATTGTCCAACCTTATGATTTTTCCCCATCAGGATATCAATGTGTCATTGGTAAAACACTGCTACTGAAGTCCGTAGGTCGCAGGTTCGAATCCCACTCCAAACCTTATCAAACCTTGTCTTGTTTTTTTCTACAGGATGTTGATGATGACGATTCGGACAGCCATTCCTTCAGTTCCCTCCACTCCCAGGCCTCCACCTACACCCAGCGGGGAGCCATCAGGAAGGCCGGCTGGCTGCAATGCAAGAGCCTATTGGTCCAGAAGAAGAAGAGGGTGGAGAGGGCGACCAGTAGGAAATGGAAAGAGTACTGGGGTAGGTGATTCTATGTAAAGGCCTCTCCTATTGGTCAAAAAAAGGAAAATTGCAAAATATTGACCAATCAGAATGTAAAAGAGTGCCTGGTTCGGTGTTCAAAGACTGTTGAATATGTTGTCATCTCCTATTGGTCAAGAAGAAAAAGAGAATGAAAAGGGGACCAGTAGGAACTGGAAAGAGTACTGGAGTAGGTGATTCTATATATAGGCCTCTCCTATTGGTCTCAGAAAGGAGAAGTTTGAATTATTGACCAATCAGAATGAAGGAGAGTGCTGGGTTAGGTGTTTAAGCATTGTTAAATGTGTTGTCATCTCCAATTGGTCAAGAGGAAGAAGACCGTAGGTGTTTCTACATATGTGGCTATATCCTGTTGGTCAGGAAACAATAGAAGACATTCAATTGGTTACAATAGGAATGGTTAAAAAAATGGGGGGAATGGAAAAAAAACCAATGTAACACTTTTAACTGTATTTCTTCATTTGCAGTTTGTTTGAAAGGCACTATGCTCCTGTTCTATCATTGTGAAAATAAAACTGCGCCGGATGAGAACATCGAACCGAAGCATATACTTGGTAAGAAATTAACAAAACTTCCCATTTTTCTATGAATTTTTTTTTAAATTTTCCCCTAAATTTCATTTAGAATTGAGTAAATAGATTTCTGTCACAGTTTTCAAGTGAATGTTGACATTTGCAGAAATGACTCTGAAATATCCATCAATAACAAAATTAAAATTGTTCCAATCCATCAGTCAGTTTGGGTATTTTTCCTGCTGAGAGCGTAGATATGCATAGAATGTGCAGGATCTTAAGGAGGATTTGTGTTCTCATCTTGTTTTCTTTGGATTTCGTGTTTTGACAGTTGTGGAGGGAGGCATCGCACAAGCCATCCCAGAACATCCGAAGAGAGATAACATCTTCTGCCTTAGCACCGCATTCGGAGATGCGTACCTCCTTCAGGTATATAAAAAACAGCTGAACATTAAGAAAAGAGGGGACAGGCCACTTTTTGAAATCAAAATTTCAAAGGGCACCGAGGCCAAGTGAATGGGCACCGAAGCCAACGCAGTTCCAAGTATTTCATTCAAAGTGTTTGCAAGTGCATAGTGGAGACATTTTGCTGACGAAGACGCAGAGTTGGTCCTCCCTCTCGCATCGTCTCCTAGCTCCGCCTCCACCGTAAAACCTGAATCAAAAGACAAGAAACAAACAATAATACTACAATCTTAAGGAATTTTAGAGTCGATTCCCAAACTGGATGATAATACTAATACTGTAATATCCACAGTTCATATATTAACTTTTTTAAACAGATGAACATTACAAAAAGGAAATGCCACTGGCTCTGTTCGTTTTTGTATTTTTTTCATCAAGTGGTTCCTGAATCGCAAACCATGCATTTTCAGAACAGAAACCAAACTTGTTTTGGATGATTTACATCATGTTTTTGGCTGACTGATTCACAGAGCAAGACTGGTCATTATTGCCGTGGAATCTCAGAAAAGCTAACCGCAGCAATCAATCTTTCCCTCTTGTATTCATTGGGAAGTTCCAGCATGGTGACACGATACGAGACTGGGAAGTTCCAGCATGGTGACAGGATACGAGACAATAATGCCAAAACTGGGATCGGTTTCCTTTTTTTAATTTGGAGTTCCCTTATTTTGAATTGTAAGGGCACGTTTTCACCATAACTGACATGTTTGGTCACCTAAAGTATTAATTCTAGCACAATTTAACATTTAAATCAGATTGCTTTCTTTTTAATTTTCACGCGGCTGTCCAAAAATTAATAGGTATACGGACTTCTTTTTTTTTCTTTTTCGAAATTTTTAGTCCCAAAGTCAAATCGAGCTTGAAAACTGGATCACCGGCATTCACTCAGGTAAGACATTTTAAAATAAATTATTACCATCCCAAAAATTGTTCATGTTTTTACAGTGAAATCTCGATAAGTCAAACTCTGATAACTCAAAACAACTGTTAAGTCAAACAAAGAATCCATTCCCTTCAGTAGTATAACAATGATATACAACCCTGCTTAACTCAAAACTCTGCTTAAGTCAAATTTTGAACCTGCTCCCTTGAGGTTTGACTTCAGATTTCAGATTTCACTGTACTTCAGTCAATTCAGCGCCCACCTTCCCACTGCAATATTTTAACATTCAACAATCAAGCTGAATTTTAGGCAATTTCAAATGAGGAAATTAACAGCGATATTATTTCGTGCCATTGTGTTCCTCGCTCAGGAAACGCAGGAAGTGGTGTGCAGGATCCTGGAGGAAATCTGGCTACGTGCCCGAAAAAAAAGAGGATTTTGGGGGGGTCTGATGTATGCTTATGATAAAATAATTCCTGATTGATAATTTTTTTGTGTCCGTTTACAGCTTGTGCTTCGGCCTTGGCAAGACAGCATGGCAAGGACGACACGATCCGCCTCCTGAAATCTGAAATACACAAGCGGGAATCCAAAGTAGAAAGTGTAAGCTGCCTTTGGAATCTCTCCTTTATGTCTCGTTCATTCCCTGATTTTTAAAAGTTTTATTCAAGTCGCTTGTTTCATATCAGTCTCAGTGTCTATCTTTACCCACTTTTGTGGATCTTTTTAGCAAATTAATATGTTCAGCAAAAATCAAATTTTATAGAAAAAAAAATTACCAGGTCATGTTATAGTATTAAATTGTAACCCTTTTTTAATAAATTATACCACAAGTTTATAATCCTAACACTTTTACAGAAACTGTTCTGTATATATTTATGTTCACATATTTTATGAACAGATTGCAGGGTTTTCAATCAATTGAAAGAAATCGATCCGAAAATATTTGTTCTCAATTTTTTGTAATTTTCCTTTTTTGTTTTTAGGAGACCAAAATGAAGAAGATGGCAGAGCTCCAATTAAGCGTAGTCACTCAGGCCAAAAATAGACAGGCCATTGTCAATCAGGTAAATCATCCCCTCCCACCATCCTTCAACCCCTCCCGCCCATCCTTTAACTCCTCCCCTTTCCTCCTTTAACCCCTCCTCTTTCCTCCCTGACCCCCGCCCCTTTTGTGGGATACAGTGAAGATGTATTCTACTTATTAACCTGGTGATGTTTACGTTTTTAAGTCTTTAAATCAGGTTTAAACCTCCAAAATGTAGATTGGTTAAACCAGGGAATCCTGCTGCTTGTGTTCTATTTTACTCTGATATTTGTGACAAGATCCCACAAAACGAGGCTTATACAACAATTTTTCACTCACTAGGTTTTCATACTCGGCCCTTCATCATTTCACAAATCATTTAGATTGACATCCTCATGAATAGACACATATGCAAATACCATAGTGCCAACCAGGAGATCTTGTGCTTTTGTTCATAAGCAAGATAGTTTACTGTGATATTTGTGACCAGAGTCATTTGGGTATTTTATCTCCTGTCAATTGTAATACGCATTACACAGAAGATACTCAGCTGATCTTTTAGTTTATTACTCGGTTTGACATCCCGAAGAATACGGACACAAAAGTAAAAGAATACTTTGCCGAATCAGTACCACATATCAAATCAATCGATTGATCAATCGATCAATAATGATTTCTTATCCGATCAATCACAGATAGCCCAGTGGGATCAGAACCTGGAACGCTTCCATCTAGAGCTCTACCGTCTTCGCTGCTACATGGCCTCCCTCCAGGGCTCCGAGCTCCCCAACCCCAAGACCCTCCTAGCCTGCGTCTCCAAACCCACCAAGCACACCTTAGCCAAGCTAGACTTCTTCTCAGTCTCCTCCTTCCACGCCTTAGTCAGCGCTCGCAACCCCATGGGTCTGCAGGGCCGGTTCTCCAAGCCCAGGTCCAAGAAGCAGAAAGGACTGGTGAGCATCTCTAGCTTTTGGACATTTTTCAAAACTTGGGCCTTGTCTCCAGTTTTGGCTTGACTTTGAATCAATTCATTTAAAATCAATTTTGAAATTGATTTAAGACTTTTTTAGGAATTTGTAACCAATTCAAATTGTCTTTATTTATATTTTAGTTTGGTACCCTGAAAAGGTCTTCAAAAGGGGCAACAGCCTTAGCTGCTGATGCAGCAAGACTAGCAGAGAGGTGAGGAACTAGACTTAACCAAACACAATATTTTACATTTGTAGGCCTCTGGAATAATTTTTCAAAGAAAAAAAAAAATATGAGAAAATTAAATATCGGAATAATTTTCACACTAATTGTGAAAACATTAAAAGAGAGTGTATTTGTATAATAGATTCAGATTTCTTGAGATGTATAAAATGTCTTTTCAGATTTATTTATTTTTTATTTTTTGTCTTTATTATTTCAGCCATGATAAAACAACAGCCCCACCAGCACAGTTTGAAGAGAGCGACCAGAAACAGCTGGAAAATGACGACGAAAAGAGCAAAACCACTCCGATTAGTCAGGTAAAAGCCGAGAACTAATGTACCACTGTCAGTGTAGTAATCACGAGGTTGCGGGTTCGAATCCCTCCCTAGCAAAGATGTTTTTCCTCACTTTTCTTTGCAATCACTTTGTTCTTTGGCCAGATGTTTGAGAAACAGATGCAAGAGGAGCGGAGCAAAGACAAGACCCTCTCGGAGGAGCTGATAGAGGGCGCCCTTGTCAAGGTGCTGTTGCCGGACAACCAGAGCACCATGGTAACGCTCCGGCCGGGCATGACTGTGCAAGACCTGCTCATAAGTAGCTGTGTGGTAAGTATTTTTTTTAATCATCTAAAAAAAAAGGTTTTTTTATTGATCAGATTTGAACAACTGCAATATCAGATTCTAACCATATTTTGGTATTTAGGTTAAACCTTTTCATTCGGAAATGATTTTTTTTCATTTATAAATTTAAAAACAAACATGTCATTGCTACTGTATAATTTGATTCTATAACAGAATTTAAATATCAGAGTTAAACTTTTTCATTTTAAGTGTTTTTTTTTTCCAAAGTTTTGAAAAGTGATTTTTTTTCTTTTCTTTTTGCAGAATCGGCAGATGGATTACCACAACTATTACGTCAAGTTCAACCAGGCTATGAGATTCGGTGCGGAGTTCAAGATTCCAGACAAAAATGCCATCCTAGAAAAAGAAGTAAATATAATTTCTTTCTAAGTAAAGATATTTCTCTCTTTTAGAACTACTCAGACAAGCGTGATCTGCAGAAACGGAATCTATTTGATTTCCTGTCTTGATTTGTAAAAAAAAAAACACAGTAATTGGTGTCTGTTTTTTTTTTATCTTCAGAAATTTGACGAGATAGAAATTTGCACCAAATGCATTCATCAAGTGGAGCTGTACCAGTTCAATGAGAACATGGATTTCGGTAAGTTTATCATTCATTAACAAAATTCTCTCCTCAAATTTTGATTTCTGTATGATTTACCAAAATATTGTTTTGGAGAATAGATTTTTCACCCAGACCTTTGTATGGCTTTCCATTCGTTGCAATAAATAATTAAAACCCATATGGCAATAAGACTGTAGTATTGTTATTCGTTTCTTGTCTTTCGATTAAGGTTTTACGGTGGAGGCGGAGCTAGGAGACGATGCGGAGAGGGAGGACCAACTCTGCGTCTTCATCAGCGAGATAGAAAAGGGAGGCTTGGCCTACCACCAAGGTGAGGAAGTCATGTCAAAAATCATCCCCCCCCCCCAAAAAAGACATTTTCACCACTAAGTAGTACATTTTGTATAGTTTTGCGGACCAATAATCGTATATGTGCACAGTATTTAAGCTATTCATGTTGTGGTGTGTCAAATGTATCTTATCCTTTTCTATCAATGTTGTGAGATATTTGCACTAGTAAGCAGGAGGTCGTGGGTTCGAGTCCAGCCTGAGCAAACTTACAGATTTCTTTTACAACAGGGGCTCTGAAAGCACTGCGTGTACAGTGCTCATAAAATTATGATGATGAAGACGCGAAACCAAAGATCTTACAAAAGTTGCTGCCAACTGTTTTTTTTTTCTTTTTTGGATTTGGGTTTAATTAAGAGGTATTATTAGAGTTCACTGCCACTCGGGAAATCAAGGAAAGTTTGAAAATGTGACAATTTTTTTTTCCAGTCGTGGAAAACTCAGGGAATTTGGGGAAACATCAGTTTGGCGTATATGCGTCTTGTGCCATAAGTCCAAGTTGTGTCCGTTGCCTGACTGGCTATGGTGGCTTTTTAGTGTCTATGCAGTGTGAATATTACACACCTCTCTAGACAATAACAATTGGCTGTGCTACACCACCTCTTGACTTCCCAGCAACCTCATCAAAGTGAAAATATTTCTCAAAAGTTTTGAAATTTCTCAGGGAAAAATATCAGGAAAACTCAAATTCTTGATTTTATTGTTGCAGATCTGCACGTGGGCGACGAGCTTCTCTGCATCCAGGGACGGGTGGTCTGTGACCTGGACATGCTCTTCATCGAGAACCTCCTCCAGACCAGCTTCTCGGTCATGCTGACCGTCCGGTCCAGCCGGACGGTCTTCGCACAGACCCAGGCCATGCTGGACACCAACAAGTACATTGACCAGCTGACGTGCCCACCGCCGCCCAGCCAGAACAGGCTGACCGACGACATGATTGACTTGCTCATCATACCCGCCCCAAACTGTGAGTAGAAACCTCTGTTTGTCTGTAAATTGTGTCCTTCTTTGAAAGCAGTTTTCATTTTTTGAAATTAATTTTTAAATTTTCAAGGAATCTGATTTTAAAATCCTCCCATACTATTTTCTCCCATCCTTCTGTATTCCCTCCCCTTGCACTTTTGTTCGTTTTTTTTTAGCGTAATTTCTCCAAAATGTTTGATATTTTGGCAATTTTAAATCCTAGATCCTGTTCTCTTTCCCCTCCTCATTTTTTTTTTTTTAATTTAGAGAGAAAGTCAATATGCAGTTAGAACAACAATGCAATTTCTTTAATAAAGTTCTTTATATAAACTCTGCGTTGTATTATCTGGATTTATAGCCTTTATGTTTGTAATGTTTTCTGTGTATATCTCTTGATTTTTCTCATTCTTTGTCGTCTATCCTTTTTTTTGTAGTTAGTTTCCCATTAAAAGTAATCTGTTATGAATTAATATGTCCTTCAGTTTTTTTTTCCATTTTCTATAAAAGTAGTCCTTTTATCACATAATGGACAACTATTGTAGTTGTCTCTTTTCATCATAATTGCTAAATGTGACCATACTCACTACAATACTAAATTCATTTGATTAAAAAGAGAACTTAATAGTAAGCCCAAGATGACACAATGAATTGAGTACAATTCTGAACGTCAACCGAAACATCTGCCATTGTCATTCAAATTAATCCAATAAGACTCCTTAATCCCCTCCCACATGCCAAACTCATCTGTCCCAAGGCTGTTTCAGTAAAATGCTCAACACAAGGAAGTGTTTGGTATTAAAAGAAAATCCGCCTATAAATAAGGAAGGGTTGAAATTTAACTATGTGTACATTTGTGTCTAACTTGGAGACCCAATACGATGATGAAATGCATGTCGGAGTATGCAGTAAAGCAGCGCTGTATTTTGACCTCACGGAAGATGATGCTGCAATGAAAGATGTGGTCTTGATGATTATTTTGTCTGACTACTGGAGTTACTTGTCAGGAATACAGCAAGAACGTTGACATCCTGATTTTGTATCACTCAAATTTTCGGAAGATACGTTGATCAGCTGGTGTTAAAGATGTCTGTATCGTTGTGTGACGTGGAGATCCTCATTTTTTAATTGAAATGAGACTTGAGTTATTTGAATGGTATTTCAGCTGAAGGATAACTTGAGCAGTATGCAGCGCTGAAGGATGTTGTATATTGAGAATAAGCATCTGTCAGATTTTTAAAAACAAACTCACTGTTTCGACACCAATGCTTTGTGAATTGTGATTTAATTCGGTGTACAAGTAAGTCTAAATCCTTATTTGAGATCAAGTGAGTGTCGACACAATGTGCTTGTGAGCCAACTTCAACGAAGAAAACTTGATAAATACTCGATGAACTTTCTTACTGGGAATAAGCATCCTTCATATTTTTTAAGAAGTATTTTTTGAGGAACAGACACTGGAACTGTGTGTATTGGGATTTTGACTTGGAGTACAAGTGGATATCTTCAACTTTTGACCAAAAATATGGGGAATTTACCGAGCCAAGCGACGACGTTTCAGGCCAGCGTCAGGAAGTCATTTTTCCAGCGGTCGTCCCGGTCGTCATGGAAACCATGGGGAAACCATGGCAACCAACCTGAAGGGACGTGCGACACAGAGGGTCAAGATTTGTGTGTTCTCGGTACTATCCGAGGTCAGCCTGCTTTTAACTTTTTTTAACTTCAGTTTAAAACATACTATTTGTCTGATTGTATTTTTTTATATTTTGGATAAATACTATGGATGTTACAATTGGTGTAATGTAAAAGTATTTGAAAATATTTACATTTTTAGGTATTTCTGACTTTCAAAAAAAAAAAATGGAAGAACTAGTACTATTTTAATGAAAAAAAAATGAATAAAATTGCTGCAAACTACTTACTGACTGGATTGACCTGAAATATACAAATAAAAAATGTTGGCGGGCCAAAAAGGCATACCCCCCAAAAAAGCTGATTTATTAATAATAATATTACAAGGAAACAAGTTAAAATGTATTGAGATGTATTGAAAACCCAAATATTGTATATTTTTCGTTTTTTTCCAGTGATGACATTTAATCAAACAATTTGTAATCTAAAGAATAACTTCGAGTGTGTGTTTGTTCATGTGTATAAATGTCAAACTTTTCAATTGATATTTTCCAGTCATGTGAAACCTTTCAGTGCCTCATTATTATAATCACAATACATACACATAGATTTGCCAAAGATTTTGTTCTTTGTTACACTTAGCCAAGTTGCCTTTGAAGGCCCCCTTCATTGTTACCAATTGCTTGGAGGGTGCTGAACCCTTTCAACAGCCACCAAAATTCCCTGTATCCGGGAAAAGCTAGTTCCACTGAATAATTACATGTATCCCTGACCTTTTAAGTTTGTTTTGTGCTGAAAGCTAGTTTGTGACGGTTGTAGAATTCATTTCTATGGAATGCAAATGTCATGCAAAGTCGTTGTGACCATTTAACTTCCGACTGTTAGAGGTCTTTGCCTGCTGTTGATATGCTCTGAAGATCTACATGTGGTAAAGATGTTTCGTTTCTAGTGATATCATTGACAAGTAGAATTGTGCAAAGCTAAGTTTTCCGTGTTGTCTACTTGTAAGTTTATTGGGACTTTGCAAGTTGTATGTTGTTCTGTGTCTTGTGCTTTTACTGTAATTGACTTATCGCCGTTTGCGAGTTAGCCACGCCCCTGAGACAACCCTGTGGAGTTTTTGTACATTCAGTTTTGTTTGTCTAAGATTCTGCGCATTCCTCGTCCATTTGTATATCATGTAATTGGACAATGATTTGCGTCGATGCGATTCTAACAGGATTCTACCGTGATATGTCAATGATCGATATGTTTTCGCCAGGTTGTTGAAAAGAGCTTTGGAAATTTTGGCCACAATCAAGATAGAATCCATTTCAAAATCACAATCAAGATAGAATCAGTTTCAAAATCACAACTCCGATTCCATTTTTAAGGAATTTACAATCTGAGTGATTTGAATGGTTAACTAAATTTAAGAAACTGATCACAATTTTCTTATGACGTGGTATTAGATGTTCACTGCTACAGTTCATTAGTGAATGCTGTTGAGATGGTTCAAGAATCATAACTCCAGGACAGACTTAAAATCAATATTGTCGTATTGTACCAAGGCTCATGTCAGTATTTCTCATTGTGAAAATCCTCCTACAGCCTATGAAGAGAGCGACGTCTCAGACACCAGCCTCATCTCGACCTCCAACGGCCCCAGCCCGCTGCGCTACATGTACGACCCCGTAGAGGAGGAACGACAGAGCCAAGAACGAGCCAAACAAGAGGAGGCCCAGCGAGCCCAGGACAGCGTCAAGCACCCAAAGCAGATCGAGCAGTTGCTGAAGGGCGTGGAGCAGATTACGGATTTCTGCCGGACTATGGATCCGCCGGGGAGAGAGGAGGAGGAAGGAAGGGGCGGAGCCGAGGAGAGAGAGGGGGAGGGGAGACTGATCGACGATGCGACCATCTTACTGCAGTCGGCACAGAAGCTACGGAAGGTATGCGGTGTCGAAATATTAAATCGAACTCTAATTTTTCTGCCAGAGACTTTGGAAAGAATGTAGTATCTAGACGCCACTTCAGCGGTTGTGTACAAAGTGTATGGAGAGTAAAGAACATTTTCTAAGTATTTCTTAACAAAATTTGAAATGTTTCCCAGTCCCAGATTCATGTCTTTTCAACATTTTTGCAATACTGACCTTTAGTGAGATGATATATGAAGAAAAAAGTGGCGTCATTCTTTCCGAGAACATTCTTTCCGAGACTTTCTTTACTCTGTCAAAATATGGGACTTTGCAATATCTCAATGCCAATTTTTTGTAACTCAACACAACTGAAGTAAAAATACTTGGGATTTGCAGTCCTGTATTTAACAAGATCAAGCAAAACCAGGTGGTGGATTTTAGCTGATTTTAAACGATTTCTTGCAATCAGTCTTGTATTCAACTGTATTCAACCGATTTTACTGTAAAACCCTTCAGTTTGAAAACAAATCGAATATGATTCCAAAGATTTAAGCCTAGCATTCTATCTAACCTTTGACCTGTGACCTTTGATTGTTATTCCCTCCAGGTCATCCTTGAGCTTCAAGACACAGAGAGAGCTTACGTCAAGGATCTCAACCTGCTGGTGACTCGGTACTTGGAGCCACTGCAGAGTGAGGCATTTCTCACTGCGGACGAGGTAAGTATTCATTTCCAATTTATATCTTTGTTTTAATTTTTGATTTATTCATAGGATAAGACCACGTCTGAAAAATAACAGATATGCTGATTTCAATACCTGCAGCCAATTTTGTGAAGCTGCGAAGCACAGAAATCTGCTAAGCATAGTAAATATATGCTCAGCATGAACTGGTTACCAACCAAAATGTCATGCAATGTGAACTGCCTGTGCTTCCTTCCGATTTCTGTAAGCAACACACAATCTGCTTACAGTTCCATGAAATTGCAGCGAGGCGATTTTTCACGTGACATTTTTAAGAAGCCCTCTTGTATTGTGTTTTATTTTGTGTTTTGTTTTGCGTAGATTGATGCTCTGTTTGGGAATATCAAGGAGATCATCAAGTTCCAGACTGTCTTCCTGAAGGGCATTGAGGACTCCACGGATGTTCCTGAATATGACAGTTTTTCCAACCCAGCCCAATTCAAGGTAAACCCCTAAATTGGAGGAGACAACTGACTTCTGGCTGTATTGTCCCGAGTTAGTGTCTAAGTCTCCTGAAACCAGAGTTGTAATCTAGACAGTCACAAGTCAAATCAGAAATCAATCACAAGTGATCACAAGTCAAATCACAAGTCAATTCACAAGTCATTTACAGGTGATCACAAGTCAAATCACAAGTCAATCACAAGTGATCACAAGTCAAATCACAAGTCAATCACAAGTGATCACAAGTCAAATCACAAGTCAATCACAAGTGATCACAAGTCAAATCACAAGTTAAATTAAAAGTCAAATCACAAGTCAATCACAAGTGATCACAAGTCAAATCACAAGTCAATCACAAGTGATCACAAGTCAAATCACAAGTCAATCACAAGTGATCACAAGTCAAATCACAAGTTAAATTAAAAGTTAAATCACAAGTCAACCACAAGTGATCACAAGTCAAATCACAAGTCAATCACAGTTAATCACAAGACAATCCTAAGTCAAATCACAAAAAGTAAATTCTCCCTTTAGGTCACAAACAACGGCAACAAAGAAATGCCTTTGTCACAGCCCATATTGAAAACTTGTGACTTGACTTGAGACTGGATGATGGACATGTGATTGACTCGTGATTGGCTTGTGATTGACATGTGATGGACATGTGATTGACATGTGATGGACATGTGATTGACATGTGATGGACATGTGATTGACATGTGATGACTTGTGTTTGACATGTGATGGACTTGTGCTTGACACGTGATGGACTTGTGTTAGACATTTGATGGGACTTGTGTTTGACATGTGATGGACTTGCAGTGGACTTGTGATGGACTCGTTTACAACACTGCCTTAAACTGAATCAGGAGACAAGGCCTTGCAAAGGTTTCAAAAACCTCACAGAACATTCTTTCCACAATTACATCTCCATCTTTACTCCCTTTTCCTCCTCAGCGCATCCTATTCTCCCTGGGTGGGGCTTTCCTCTACTACATGGACCACTTCAAGCTCTACAGCTCCTTCTGCGCCTGTCACTCCCGCTCCCAGAAGATCCTGGACCCGGCTCGGGGCAACAAGGCACTGATGGAGTTCCTTGAAGCCAGGAACCCCAAGAATCAACACTCCTCGTCCCTTGCATCTTACCTCATCAAGCCCATACAGGTAGGACAATTTGATCCACGTCCAAAAGGAAGGGAAGACAAATCTTCAAATCTCTTCAAATTAATTTGGAATTTTTTTTAATTCCTGAATTTTAAAAAATGTTTTGGCTTTATTTTTACGATATTCCAATTTGAAAATTTTGAGAATTAATTTCCATACCCAGTTGTCAACTCGATCCACGCACAAGCCTAAAAATCTCTTCAAATCTCCTTCCGTTAATTCTGAAAATTCTCAAAAGTTCCTGAATATTTAAGACTTGTTTTCCCTTTTTGCGTCTGAAGAAGTCTTTGCTAAGGACGAAATATATCCGGCCACTCAAATCTTTTGACCTTTTTTTATACAATATTTCAATTTGAAACTTTTGTACATCATGAAATTAATTATAGTTTCAAACACAGTTACCAACAAATTATTAGAAAAAATACATGCTCACTAATTTTAAATATAATCAATATCTTTAGTGGCCAGCATCTTAGTATTCCCTCCTCTGTTTTGTTGTGAAATTTACTTCCTCTCACAATGCCACGAGCAAATCAGCTTTTCACACAGTATGGGTTGTCAATTTACTTTGTGAGTTTATTCTTAATCCCCATAATCTCTCTAATCCGCAGCGTGTCTTGAAGTACCCCTTACTCCTCCACGAGATGCGAAGTCAGCTGGACAACAACAGTGAGGAGCACTACCACCTGTCTCAAGCCCATAAAGGCATGAGCCAGGTCGCGGGTCACATCAACGACATGATGCGAGTACACGAGGAGTATGGCGACGTCTTCGATGGACTGGTGTCTGAGCAATACCACGTCAAGAAGGAGGTAACGCCGCAGTGGTCTTCGAAAAGATTCCATTCCAGAAAAAGATTGTGAAAAAAAAAACATGTGAAAGTTTACTTTGAACCAATATTAAGGCAATTACGAAATAATAAGGCAATAATTCCAGCATTATGAAAGGAATTGTAATGTATTTGATGGAGCGAATTAACCATGATATCTAATTAATGATTCAGAGAAATGATCCACAACTCCTAGTCTGTAATCTCCTTGACCATTACTAGATGATGGATGGATAAGATTTGAAACATACATTTTCAGGTTTATTCACTGAGCTGTCAAAATCTCTGTCACAGACAATACAAAACGCTAGAATTGTTCACTAACAAATTGACTGGAGCGGAATTTGAACCCGCAACCTCGAGAATATCGTACCTGTGCTCCACCAACTTAGCCAATTTTATTAAAATCAGATGCTGGAGATTGTCCAGAGACCACAAATTTACAGAAATATTTTTCAACTTTGAGATTCCTCAAAAAGTTTTCAAACCTAAAGTCTTAAGATGACTCATGTCTATGCCCTTTGAAAAAAAACCTCAAATTATCCATTGTTTTTGGTCACTTTACAGCTGTGAAATGTTTCCTAATATCCTTCTTTTTGTTGTAATTTTGGATTGAAATGTAGATAATTTTGGGTGCAATGGGGACATGTGGTATATGCTGCTGTTTGCTTTCTGAGCAACCCCCTCCAACAAAAAAAATCCCCTACTCAAGCAATCCAATTTCCCCCTCATTTTAAAACATTAATGGTCAACGGTTTAACAGGCATTTTTGCAACATGTTGGTCTCTCATACCCTTCCCTGCTCCTTGTTTTCTGAAATCATTATACATTTTAAAAAATATTTTTTCCATTTTGTAAAAAAAAAAAAAAAGTGTTGCAAATTTCATTGCTAAAATGGACCCTTCCTGCCTGTCACTCAAACAGTGCGCATTGACCAATTAAATCACGGCATTTGGTCAGGTGACCACAGTATCCCAATCAGGAGCATTTTGAGGAATTTACATAAAACCAAAGGTGGGCGGGGCTTATGGTTAAATCTGGAACAGTCCATTTTCATCACCCATTAGAATATAATTTCTAATCAGAAAAACATGTATCTCTTCATTGCATCCATTTTTTTTATATCATTGATGACATGATTGGGTTGATTTCATTCCTCCCTTGTGTTTCTTACCGTCGATTTGTTCTGCTTTTTTTGCTCCCTGCTTTTCTCCTTTTTTTCCTCTCCTTCAAAATGGCCGCTCTCAGCTGGTGGGAACCAAGGTACAGTGCTTACACCCGGGGCTCAATTTCTTTGCCCTTTTTGTCTCTTTTTTCTTTGTCTTTCTTGTTTAGTTACGTTTTTTTGTTTTTTTTTACAGTTGTAGACTCTTGCTTTATGATGAACTTTTGATGAAGACGAAAATTGTGAAATCCGTTTATAGTAGTGTGGATATTATTTTTTTGGTTTACTTCTTTAAAAACAGTGTCAAACCCAAAGTTTTCCCCAGGTTGAGTAAGAAATAAAGAAAAATTATCTATTAAGTCTTGGATTTAAGTATAAAGTCAATAATTGCTCAGATTTCCCATTCTGGGATTTGTGATTTAGTGGAACTTTTACATCTTTCATAGAGCAAGAGTTTACACCTTTTTCAAAGATTCCGTCCAGAATTATTAACATTTGAAAATATTAATAGAAAATGTTAGTTTAAGAAAGTTTTAAAAGCTAACAAATTTATAAAAATTATTTTCTCATGCCATATGACATGAACTGTCAAGTAGTAATTAAGTTGTCTTTTATAATTTTTTACAGCAGACAGCTCAAATCATTGAAATAAAATTTCAAATATTTAAATGTTAATAATTTTTGGACATCACTCAGCACTTTTTCATTTCTTGCTTTAACATCCATCCGCCACTCGCACTATTTCACCTCACGCTCACATCAAAACTCACCCTCAAACTTCGCAAAAATAAGGGCCGTCCAAAACTGTCACCATTTTTGATAAACTAAACATGCTATCGTTAAATGACGTGGCTATGCAATTGAGATTATGTGATCGAGAAGATAAAATTGAAGATGACATAGTTCTCCTGATAAAAAGGAAACAATGGACAGTTTTGGACGGCAATTTGATAAACTAACAGCGAAACTTATTTTACTGCCTCGCTATGGAAGTCGTTGTTACCACAGCTAGTCTTGCGACTTCACAATGCACACAAGGTGCGTCTTTCACCGACTCCACTATCCACCTTAACTATGCATTCACAGAGAAATTCACGATGACTAAGTTTAGAAAAAACTTGGCTTAAATTTGTCTGAAAATTAAGTTAGAAACTCAATTTTAATGCTAATACAGTGAAATCTGGATAAGTCCAAACCTGTTAACTGAAAAACCCTTTTAACTCAAAGTAAGAAGTTATTCCCATGAATTGTTATTGAAAAGAAAATTCATTGGATAACTCAAAACTCTGTTTAACTTAAAATTTGAGCCAATTCCCCTGAGCTTTGACTTATCAAGATTTCACTGTAGTTGCTTTGCATTTGCTAAAAGTCAAGAAGAAATGGGAAATTTTAAATCAATCTTTCAAAAAAAAGAAATTTGTTTTTGAACACCTTGCAAATGCAACTGGAGAAATTAATTTTCCTTTATTTGTATTTGGCCTCGTAGAATTTACTGTTATCAAAATATAAATAAAAAGCTTTTTCTTGTGTTATTAATAATGATAATAATAATGATAATAGTGCCATATATCCAGTACACTAATCACAAGCATAACTGTTAATTTCTCAATATTTATGAACGTTAATACTTTAAAACAACTTAGCGTGCACAACGCAAGAAATGAAAAATGTGCTCCAGAAATCTGTCTCTATTTTTTTCCCCTGTTTATATGCACCAATTGATTTTCTTGTTTAGTTTGCACAGTTTTCCTAGCTGCTACTTTGTGTTAATTTTTGTTGAATTGTTCAAAATAGTTTTAAAAATATTTTCCCAACGAGCGAAAAGAGATTACTTAAACAGTTCACCGAACCTTGAAACAAAGAGGTTTAACATGAATGTTTCTTTGTCAATGTAAAAGCTGTGTGTATTGTGTTAATGGTTTTTGTTTCGGTTCGTGTGTGTCAGTAACCTTGTCATGTGACTAATTCAGTTTCTGTTCCATTGTTCCAAAGTGCAGACATTGGAGACAAGATGGCAAGGTCAATTGATAGACTTGTATCAGTCCCACATGTACCAGTTAATTTGTCCATCTTGTGCTTGGATTTGCACTTAAGTTGAATGTGATCACTAGTGGTTGATGTATTTGTCGCTGGTTTAACCACGATTTGGCATTCTTCCCTAGGTTGCAGATTTAGCGATGGACGACCTGGTTCTGTACAACAGCGCCCTCTGGCTGAACAGCCAGGACGACCTGGGAAAGGTCAAGCGAGGCAAGGATCCAGAGGTCATCGTATTTGGTGAGGTCACAACCATTCTGACCTTTTCCTAAGCCAGAAAAGCTAAGCGTAATTCCATTTGTCCTACCATGGAAAGTCTATAGGCCCAATTTCATAAACTGCTTATCAGAAAATATCGCTTAGCAGATTTACTCCCTTAGCAAAAAATTGCTAAACACAGAAAAGTTGTGCTAAACAAAAGCTGGATAAACAGCCAAAATACCTTGCCGTGTTTGTTTCTTGTTTCTTGATCTCTGCTAAATTTTGCTCAACTAGTAATTTTGCTATTAACGTAATATTTTCTAAATGAGACTTTCAGTATATTTTCTACTTTATGTCTCCATGAAGGTTAGCCTAACAGAGGATATATATAGCCCTCCATTTTCTTGATTTTGGGTTGCCGGGCTATACAATTATTTCCTAAGATTTTTGTACTTCGGGCCACCCAAAATATGCCAATCATGGCTATCATTGTAGAAATGACTATCCTCAGTATTCCACATTTCATTTCAGTTGCTAGTTCACCATTCCAGATTGTAATAATCCATTTGTTGATCGCCTTGTCTGTCTGTCTGTCTGTCTGTCTGTCCAGTTTTTCGGCCGGCTGTGGTCATCATCTGCAAGGAGAAGACCAAGAAGAATCGCAAGTCATCCATGAAGGGCAACAGCCAGCTGACGGAGGACGTCATCCGCTTCAAGTGGATGATACCGGTATCCACAATGCAGGTCAAGGACGCTAGCATTAATGGTAGGTCGGCGGATGGGGCACAGAGGTCTCAAAAGTGAAGATCTCAAATGAGCACTTATGTAGTATTTTTGTAGCAGATGATCCGGGAAGCATAGCACTTCTAAGATGCTATTTGACCCTTAGACCTGTCAAATTGACAAAATAAGCAACAGGTACCAAATAACATGTCGCGGTAGAATCACGTCAGTGCCAATCAACCTGTCGCAGTAGAATCGCGTCAACGACTCTTGTGATATTTTGTCCAATTACATGATAAACAAACGGACGCGGAATGCGCAAAATCTGAGACAAACAAAATTTCATAGGGTTGTCTAAGGGGCGTGGCCAATTCGCAAACGGCGCTAGTTCAATTGCTAGTGCATTGAGAAAGCAATTGTTGTAAACTACCTTGCTAGGGGACGCAAGAACCAGGAGCCTTAGGCTGGGCTTAAAATGACATTGTAGTGAACGTTTCTGGAAAAACGAGGTTAACACCGATCCACTGGATGTCTCAGCAATCCCATTCTAAAGCGGAATTCTCCGAACTCAGAAAAAGTCGGGGGATTTCGGAGGGAGGGGGCAGTTTATTTGAAGATTGTCTAAACTGCATTGATTGAGAGCAATCGTTTGTTTTTGTTGTACAGATTCTGACTACCTAAGCCTGTGGGAATTGTCGCACACCAAGAGTGAAGGGAAGTCAGAGAAGTTCTTCCAGTTCTCCTGCAGGTACGAATTATAAGGCACCTAGGGACTCCTTCAGATTAGTTTTTATAATAATATTAAAGTCTTAAATTTATAATTTTCACGTGAAATATTTGCCCGAAACATTTTACAAAGTTAATAATTCGGATAACAGATGTTGTGAATCTACAAATTAAAAATATCTGTGAGGATTTATTTGAAAATTTAGTCACATATGTTGACTCATATTCAAGGACACCATGTTGATTCAGAAGATTTCTTTTGGGGTATTTAATATTGCAGTACGTCCGAGTTGAAGTCACTCTTCGTCAAGACCATCAAGCAGATCATCCGGGACCACAAGTACAACAAGAACACCACCACGAGCGGAAAGTTCACCCTGGGCCGGCCCAAGAACTACACCCCGTTCAGCGGCAAGCGCTTCGAGGGCTTGTCCCAGCCCAAGCGAACCTTGCGCAAGTCCCTCCAGCTCGGTGAGTCCGGCCGCACGGAGGGCTCGCAGTGCAGTGAGGAACACTCCAGTGGCAGTGGCTCCATGAAGGGGGACCGGTCGGAAGGGGACCAGTTTGACTCCTTGGAGACAGACTCCAACAGCACGGGGAAAGGCGTCCGGATCATCAAGCGACGGTCAAGTTTGGACTCCGGGATGCATTCAAACGATTCGAACTCCCTAACGGGGAGCAATCGCGATAGCGACCCGCTCAACACTAACGTTAATAACAACGTCCAACGGATGATCTCGGAGGACGATTCGGCCATCGGCTCGCCGAGTTGCCCTTTGACCCCAATGAGCGAGGAAGGTGATTGGACGGCTCTCAACAATCCTTCACCAGCCGTGCTGTCTCACCAAGAAATACGAGAACGTCTTGCCATGATGGAGCTGTCCGTTGCCAGTAGTGACGACACGCCAAAGAGCCCCGAGTCAGACATCGCGAGTGCTAACCGAACTCTAAACATGAGCGGGGGCGCCGTTTCAGCGCCGACCCAAAACCGGAGGCATAAGACGAGCCAGCGGGGATCGCTGTACGACAACATGAGGTGCGACTCAGTCGAAGAAGAAGATGAAGAATTGAAAGACGCGACAGACACAAATTCCAATTTTGTTACAGAGATTCCGGGCTCCTGCATCAATTAACAAATGTATGATGGTGTAATAGTTTAAATTTATAGCAAATAACTGTCCTCAGTTTTCCTCATGAGGGCGCCCTTCCATTTTAAGACTTTTTGAGGCACTCAAAAGCAATTCCAAAATGTTTCACAACTTAAGTAAAAAAATTTATACCGAATACTTGCTTTACAAAAAAGGTTACTAGTGGATCGTTTTCAAAGAGACAACTTTTAACAAAGCAAAACCCAATTGGAAAAAAATACCTAGGAGAGACAAAGTTGGTAGACAGCAAAACTGGTAATCAGTGTATCCTGCAACGCTTTGGTTGACTGTACAGTGTGTAAAGAAGTGTAAATACGAAAAAAGTGTACGGAAAAAAGCTCTCCCTGAAAGTCCACAAAGGGAGCCCTTGTACATCTGCTGGACGTTTTGTAAAAATGCTTTAGAAAAAGATTATCAAACAGAAATACAATTTGTCAGTATTTTTCAAGCATTTAAATTGTACATTATTATCTTGATTTTGGAAAACTTTCCATTTTGCTGTGCAAAAAAGAAGAAGAGAAAACATATAGTAAAATCAAAACAATATGAACAATATTTTATGCTCGGGAAGATCCTATAGAATTGTAAGATTTATTTTCAAACAAATAAAGCAATCATGAAATTGGATTGTGCCTTAATGTCAGTGCTTGAAGAAAGAGGCATATCAGACAAAAATTGTATAGAATATCAGTATTTTGTGAATCTATTTAGTAATATTGCAAGAAAATATGAGGATGGCAATAAAATGAGAATAAAACAATTTTTTTATACCAAATTAATAATTGCCTTAATTGCTATAACCAGGGATGTGAAGGATGATACAAGAACAACGAAAACATTTTTTAAAGATAATTTGCAATGTTCCTGAAGTGTCTTGGTCATAAATTTACACCTGAATATAAACCTTGACAGTGCAGTACGATATTGCAAGTATTTTAACAGAAGCCAATTCCTAATTGTGCCCACAATGTGTGAAATAATCTCATTTTGTAATTTTTTCTATAAAATGCGATTATAATTATAGATTTGTTGGAAATATCACTATGTAAAACCACAAAAAAAAATTATGGAATGGTGTACAAATTTTCACTTAATCTTTTACAAAATTATGGAAAGCTTACTATCAACAATCATGTTTTTACTCCTTGTTTTTTAAACGGCAAGTTTTTAATATTGCTCACATTTTTATCTATATGAAAGGCCTATACAGGGTAAACTTTACACAGAAATTTGTACAAACTGTCAATTTCTAAGGCACTTTTTCATGAATTGTGTTCAAATGTACTCAGTTTGTGCCTGTAAATTTTTTAAGTAAAATGGTCCCAAAAGAAGACTCATAATTTTTTACAAATGCGACAAAAGTATAAAAATGCTGAAAATTGTTACGATGGTTCCAAGTCTTTTGTTCATTGATCTCCAACTCTATTTTGTGTTTTTTTACAGACCCTTTTTGAAACCAAATACGGCCATATTTTAAAAAGGAAATTTTGGCAGTTGTATGGGTCGTGCAATACCCATTAAGCAAACTTGAGTTTCCATGTAGAAATCTGCTGACCTAATATTTGGCTAAATATAATTTTCTTCTGTACAAACTTATAAATATGTTAAAAAGGAAATATATAGTTATGTTGCAGTTCGGTTTGCAATTTTGTGGAATTATTTTCTCCCTTTTTTGTGAGAGTGTGAGTTGTTTTGATATTGAAAATGTGCTAATAGAAACTTGCTCTTTCAGTTTTTCAGTTTTCTTGTCCTAGTCAGCGAACATTTCTGATTATAATTGTTTCATGTTGTAAATTATGAAGTAATTATGTGGTTTCGTTTTATTTATGAAAAATTTGATTAATGTATCAGTTACTTTAGAGAACCCCTGTTCTTTCTTTTTTCTGGAGTATCTTGTCCATTTGAGGTTTATTTTTGATAAAGTTTTGAAGGAATATTTGCCTTTCTGAGTCATTTTAATCACAATATGCAGACCTACAGTCGATAAAATATCAGAAAACTAACCCTGAACAAAACCCTTAACATGAGCACAACAAAAACAAAGTAATGGTTTTATCTGTTTTGTTTTATCACTGTATTTCATCCTCTATTATAGCAATTGACTTATCTTTTGTGAAAAGCAATACTTTTTAATGTACAGAATTGAAATGAACAATGCAACATTGATACTAAATTGGAAGTTTTTCTTATTATTAAAACGAGCTTACATAAAATCATGTAAAGCCATAAATCATGAATTTAAACAGTAATTTGGAAACGGCCCCAAAGCCAAAAAACAAAATATTTTTTCAAATTTTTACAAATTTTCTTTTGACACATTTTGTGATAAGTTTGACAGAAAAACGTTCCGCATTGCATCCGTTTTATAGGGGAAAAGAGTTATTTCGCAAGATTTCCCCTTCATGATTTGGCCCTTATTATTGAAAAATGTGTCTGAGATACTTTTGGTTCACTTAAAACAGCAATATCTCTCTTTTCTTATCAATAAAGTGTAATGTAGATAATATTTTAAGTCAAATACTGTCTTTCAGACTGAAGTAATTTAAGTACGCAGTGCCTCCAACCTTTGTTTTGCAATTATTAAATTGGAAAAACAATTTCAATGAGTTGTCTCTTTTTGGTTTCTCTTTGGCGTTCAGCTAGTCTTAATTTCCCAATATTGAGTGGTAATAGTACCGGTGTCATATGAATCAGTCTCGTATGAAAATCGGACTTTTATTGGTTAAACCCTCTCACGTGACCGGCCCCTCTCCTAATTATCTATGCATGAGCATGCGCAATACCACCAATGAGTCCATATTTCATAAAACCAAAATTCATGCTACACCGGCACATCGCAAGAAAAAACGCTTGTGGTTTTTACCGATGTGGGGTGTGGGGGAGGGGGGGGGGTTGCTTGTCTGGGGGGGGGGGGGCTGTCAGTGGAAGTTGTCACACGCCCCGCCCCCAGATCAGTTGTACGCCCACAAAATTGTATTGTCCCGTAAACAATTAGCTCCATTTACAGTCCAGGGTATTAAAGTCCAAGGTAAGAAGTGTGTATATTGGCTGTTGTATCAGATTAAAAATAGCAATGTCACGAACTGTGGCCATATAAGTTCCGAAAAACGTGCCCCCCCCCCCCCCAAAAAAAGTCATGTGAGAGAGAAAAGTTTGCTCAACTTTCCCAGGACACGGTTTTATGAAAACGTTACAGCACCAAAACAGCGTATATGGTATCGCTCTTGTAAAAACGAGGTTGAAAAGCTCGAAGGTAGTCTGGTACCTTTTATACGTCCCGTAAATAATTCGTAGATCGTTTATAGATTAAGGAAACCATACAGACGTATGCAAAAGTTGTTTTACGTGTAAAACTGAGATGTGACGTTAGTTTATCCGGAAGTTTTCCTTCTTTTTGTTTTGATGTGGGAACGACTTTGCTGCCTCATGACTGTGAAGTCACAAACTTTGCCCCTTTGACTGCAAATATCGAGTTTTGTTGAGGTTATTGGTGCTATTTGCAGCATTTGTCATTTTGTGTAAGAGGTGAGAACTGAGATTGAGCACCAGAGCTCGGTAGACAATAGTTGCAGTACTACCGTAACGATAGAAAATGGGAAATGCGTTACGGCTGCCGTAACGATAGCTACTCCTAGAACTATGAGGCTCCGCGTGAGCGGAGCCTCATAGATCAAGAAGCCCGCAAAATTGCCTGCAGCACAAAACACGAATAAAGTACAAAAACGTCCATCAAAATGCAGCCAATTCACACAGAACCGCTGCACAGTTTGCCCCTATACTCCGTACTTTATCTCTTGACATACTCACGTATCTTGTGCGGAACTACCATGGGTGGATTCTGTCGGTTTTTAGGCCAAAATGATGAAAAATATGCCCTTTCCGCACTGAGCCAACCTGACACTTGAAACGTGCACGCATATGATCGAGCGATGATTTTCGGTTCGCTCGGAGCGCGCCGCGGGGGGTACGGTACAAGCGAAATGATAGTATGTGCATGCGTACAAGTGCATGTACCGTACCCCCCGCGGCGCGCTCCGAGCGAACCGAAAATCATCGCTCGATCATATGCGTGCACGTTTCAAGTGTCAAGTTGGCTCAGTGCGGAAAGGGCATATTTTTCATCATTTTGGCCTAAAAACCGACAGAATCCACCCATGTTAGTTCCGCACAAGATACGTGAGTATGTCAAGAGATAAAGTACGGAGTATAGGGGCAAACTGTGCAGCGGTTCTGTGTGAAATGGCTGCATATTGATGGACGTTTTTGTACTTTATTAGTGTTTTGTGCTGCAGGCAATTTTGCGGGCTTCTTGATCTATGAGGCTCCGCTCACGCGGAGCCTCATAGTTCTAGGAGTAAACGATAGCCACTGCGAAGTTTATTTAATACTGCCTTTTTGATCTGTTGATTAATTTTCAGGTTTAATTTTGCATCTTAAGTCTTATTAACTTGTCAGAACAGTGGGAGGAACATATTCATTGCACGACGTACACTTAAGCTCGTCTCAACGACCACTGACGACATGGAACAACTCGGTCAGAAGCTGGATTGTGTTTCTATCTCCTCCTTGCCGACATGGGACGACAAGGACAAGATTCCTGCCTACAACGTCGCGGAGGATGAGACCAGAACATCCAGATTTCCCTATGACCTCATACTGAACGAAAAAATTGTATTATGGTAAGCATTGTCATTGAGTTCAGCTGCACAGAAGTGCAACCCCAACCATGCTGAATCCGAGAAGGCCCACTAGTAGACTTTTCTGTTGAATTTTGCTGATTCAAGCAGTGAATAAAAGATATTTTGCTCTCATTGTTCACACATCAATAGCTGCTAGAATTGATTGGATTCAGCAGGGTCCTTACACAGGTTTAGCGGCAATGTTAAGTTAACCAGTGGAGGAGGTTAGGGTTTGTGACTCGTGATCAGAGGGTTAGGGGTTCAAATCCAGCTGCTGGCCATATGTTGTGTCCTTGGGCAGGCCACTTCACCCCACTTACCTCTCCCTACCCAGGAGTATAAATGGGTACCGGCATTAGCTGGGGAGTAACCTGCGATGGACTAGCATCCCATCCAGAATGGACATAAATATTCTCAGTTGTTTCAGGCCAAGGAAACCGGAGATAAATGCTGGCCGTCTTTTTCTCTTAAACTTAAGGTTAACTTGAGACCACTTTTCAGTTCAAATTATAAGCCAAAAACATCTCTCATGTAAGTTTCATAAAAAATGTTATGGTTTTTAAAATTTTCGAAATCAACAGGGAAGGTGATCCAACTGCCCTTGACGCAATGGGCCTCATTCACCCAACCAACGAGCACCTGAATGAAAATACGCCACTTACAGAAGCCATCCACAAGAAAGCCGGGCCAGACCTCCAAACAGAACTCATCAAAACAGTCCGATGTAAGAGTTTTTACGTTTCAGGACGGTTTCTTACAAAAGTTCTTTTGGAGTCAATTGACAACAGAGCGAAATTCATATTCATTTTTCAAATGCTTTAAAAATGTATTCTTCATTGCACATATTGTTAATCGATGTGTGTACCGGGTATATGTTGATATTTCTATAATCGATATTTTATCAATATCGCATAGGTTGCAGAACAGGTGAAGCCAAGCTGAGTAAAGGCTACAACTTGCCAGCCAGGTTTGTCATCCACACAGTTGGGCCCCGCTACAATATTCGATATCGCACAGCCGCAGAGAGCGCCCTGTACAATTGCTACCGAAATGCCTTGCTGCTTGCAAGGTATGTTGTTCCGGGTTCCTGTCAATAAACGTCTGACCTTTTTCCCCAATATTTTGTTTTATAATGCAAGATTGCTTTGTAAGGTAAAAATTTTGAAGTGGTATTCCAGTGTAACAGTAAGCAGTATATCGCAATTAATTTAATGAAATAATTTGTTTTTGAATACAGAGAGCATGAGCTTCGGACTTTAGCATTCTGTGCCATCAACTCAGTCAAGCGAGGCTACCCACCCGAAGAAGCCGCCCACATTGCAATCAGTAAGTCCAGCCCCTTTCCCAGACCCCTTCCCTACCCCTCGCCCAGAACCCTTCCCCGCTCCTCGCCTAGAACCCATCCCTGCCCCTTGCCCAAAACCCTTCCCCACCCCTTACCCCACTCCTAACCTCATGCCATCTGACATCCACCCCATCCACCCCAACATCCATTTCAACCAAACCCAATCCCAAAACCCCTCCCTTTCAAAATACTAACTCAGAAGTCTTCCACCCAATTCCTACCCCTCTGTACCCGTTGCCCATTCTCCACCCCACCCATACCCTACCCAAAGCCAACTCTATGCCCCCCCCCCTTTGGTCCCAACCTATCCTTCACCCAAGCCCCATACCCTAATCCCACCCAATAATCATGTGAAGTGTCCTGTGACTATTTGAGTTTAGATAAATAGATAAATTCCAATGCAATTTTCATTTTTTGCAGGAACCATCAGACGATTTCTCGAGAAACACGGCGAAATGTTTGAGAGAATAGTATTTGTCATTCGGGGAATAAACGAGGTGAGACTCCTTTTCGCAAATGGCAGAATATGACCAAAACTTGACTTTGAAATTGTACTTGATTTGTTTCATTTTTTCGTATTTTGAAATAATTTGTTTTCCAAAGGATTGTTATCAAGATCTTCTACCGCTCTACTTTCCCCGGAGTAAAACAGAAGAGCACTGGGCGTTGGACCTGATTCCAGCTAACATCGGTAACGAGGACGGGGAACCGGTCAACCCGGAGAGGAAGATCAGGATAACGGACGATCCTACCCGAAAAGAGTTAGGTGGGTTACCAGTGTCTAAGTGTCTGATCAGAACAAGCGATTTTATTTTGACATTGCTGTTTGGAGATCTGTTTGGAGATCTCTTACAAATACAAAAAAAATCGCGTCATTATAGAAGATTGTTTTAACCGGATGTCTTTAATCACCAGTCAACGGCAATGAGTCAGATCAGGAACTGGAAGTGGACGATGGTGACATCGGCAACCACGCCTTCGCCTCCATGCAGGCCGACCCAGACAAGACAAAGAAAGAGCTGGGAGTCACTAGACCCGTCCTCAGCCCCGAAGAAGAGAAAAAAAGAAGGTAAGAAGAAGAAATCTGCTAAGCTTAGAAAATATTCGCTTACCAAAATTAGGTTACCAGCCAAAATACCATGCAGTGTACCGTGGTTTCGACTGGTTCCCACCAGATTTTTTGTCCTTTTAAAAAAAAAAGTAATGTTTTTGCTTAGCTGCTCCGTGAAGTTTGGCCAATTTGTTGTGCATGCCTACAATCTGCAGGTTACAAATTTCGTTTTGGCATTTATCTGTGTCTTCCTCAGGTATGACCGGTTCTTAAGACAATCCCATACGGAGGACCTGTCGGACATTGCCGCCCATCGCTGCATCTACCAGACCGGGGTCGACATCTACGGCCGGCCAATCGTTGCCTTTGTCGCCAGAAACTTTCCTGCGACAGGAGTAGACCTGGAAAAGGTACTTTTGTACAAATGTGATGCACTCTGGCAAAATCCAAGTCTCGGCCATTATTCAAGAGGTTTATATTCTAAAAATCTAAGACTTCATCCACATTACTTAGCTATAATTATAATATAAACACTATACTCGATGCTCAGTACATTGCTAACTACAGTAATGCTCATGAAAGGCAAGACCCAACATTTGTCAAAACTCTGTCATTTTGTTGAAATTCAATTATTTGACATTATTTTATTGATTCATTCTTTTTTGCCTTGCAGGCATTCCTGTATTTTATCTATCTCCTAGACCCCATCGTCAACCAGGACTATGTTGTCGTCTACTTCCACACCCTCAGCACGGCCCAGAACCAGCCAGACCTCAAATGGCTGAGACAAGTCTACCACGCGGTGGACAAGCGATATCGCAAACACCTGAGGGCGTTCTACATTATCCATCCGACGTTCTGGTCGCGGGTAAGTCGCTGCACGGGAACGATAATCGTTTTAAAAAAAAGTCTGTCATGAGCAAATACGGCCTATCGGCCGGCGTTTCTGTATTTTTGGTTTTCTAGGCACCCTCTATTCCCCCTGGATGGGATGCCAGTCCATCGCAGGTTACTCCCCAGCTAATGCTGGTACCCAATTGTACTCCTGGGTAGAGAGAGGCAAGTGGGGGTGAAGTGGCTTGCCCAAGGACACAACATATGAGCAGCATCTGGATTCGAACCCCTGACCGGATGATCATGAATCACAAATCCTAATCACAATTTCAAAATTTCAAAATAAACTTTCTTTGTCTTTTCATCATATAATCACAACGTTTAATTTCAAAAACAGGTGAGATCAAGTCAATCTTATTTGGTGTTCTTTGTTATAATGTTCCCCTCCTGCAGTTGGTGACGTGGTACTTCACCACCTTCACAGCCTCCAGCATCAAGGACAAAGTCAAGAGCCTGAAGGGGGTGCATTATCTCTACAACACCATCCACCCAGATCAGCTGGACGTGCCGCCGTTCGTCTCCGATTACGACATGCAGGTAGGTTATCCCCTCCATGCGCTATAAATAGAGGGCGCTCTTTAAACCAACATTAGGATCATCGCAAGTAAAGGTGCATTGTTACTCTGAAAACGTGAATTGATGATTTTGAATTGAAGTGATTTGTGATTTCGTTCATGGCAGGGTTTTTAAAAGAAGCTTTAAAACTTTAATTGGGTGTGCTATGAAATATTGCTCCCTTCCAGATTAACGGCAACAGCTATTTCAATCCTGAAGAAGGCTCGGAGGTGGAGGGCTTGTGATCTAGAACACCATTACCCGTAACTATGGCAACAGAAGTGTAAGTTGTATGTAAGTGAAACAATCGACCATGTGCTGATATGAGGTGTTATTTAATGACAAATGAAATCGTCTCGTTTTGGTTGATTTCTTTTTTCTTTTTTTTAATATTTGTATAATTTAGGTTAATCTTCCGTTTAATTAAAATCGGTGCCAGATTTGTTGTGAAAAAAAGTGTACATTTAGGAACATGATTTGGCTTACCTAACCCAAAAAATCCAGTCCAAGTTGGATTGTGGTTTTTCAACCGCTAATTTTTGAGAGGGAAAAAAATTATTATTTTGTTTGGTTCACCGCTAGATAACTTCTGTTTCATGTTTTCAATCTTCGTGCGAAATGCATTGAAAATTTAATGGTTGTTTGCCGATTTGTGGACCGTTACTTTGGAAATTAATTTATTCTTAAGTTCTTCTTTTTTTTTACTCACCAGGCTGAATTTTCTAACTTTATTTGCTACGTTTTCAATTTTATAACAACTTGGATTTTGTTAAACAGTTTGGAATACAATTTCCAATGTTTTCTTAGTTCTTCAAATTGTAAAGCATGACTAACTCATGTAATTAATGTTGTTCTTTCTTGATTGTTTGTGTTAGTAGTTCTTGCATATAATAGTATGACAAAGTCATACCTACACATTTAAATTTTCTACTTGTCACTAAAAAATTTCAATTTTGTGAAAATGACTCATTTAAAAAGGAGTCCTTTTTTCATACATTTATACTCAAGATAAGAATATTTATCACAGAAATCATTTTGAAATCTTTCAAGTCTTCAGTAGCAAAATTTAGATGCTAATCTAACTTGAAAATCTTTGCAACCAAGCGGACACTTAAAATCAAATTATGTTTCCATGTGCTGGACACTGCGTAGTTAATCGCAAAGTTATAATTCACATTGTTATGAATACTGATATAAAACGAATTGCAGCTAGATATTTGCATAAATACATATATTCTAAGTCATAATGCTGTTAATGTGCATGGATCACAAGATAATCCAGTTTGTACTTCTTATGTTTCATTGTACAATTTCTATACGGTTGTTATTTGTATTTACAAAAAAGTGCCTCGAAGAATACCTAAAAACAAAAATTTAGCTATGTAATGAGTGAAGAGCGATATCTATCTACAAGGAAAATGAGGCCCCAAATATTTGGAAAATGTGTTTGTACAGTATTTCAAACGGCATGAAGTAAGTATAACATTTTTACCCGTAAAGAGAAAACTTAAAGCCCAACACAGCAGAGAGACAAATAAGCATAAGAATGGTATAAGAAAGCTCTTTTTAATTTGAGGTGTACAGAGAATTGATCAAATAACTTAAATTCTGACAAGTTTCAAGACACGTCTTTGTATTTAACAAGAAAGGGGCATATGTTGCCCAGGTTACCTGAGTAAGATATCTTACTTTGTAATTCTACGAAATTGATTCTTTGTTTAAGGGGACAAATTGTGCTTCTGAAGCCTTTAATGTTACGGCCATCTTGGTCTGGTACCTGGAATGGCACACCAAAATACACAGTGACCACAAGCTTCACATCAAAGGCACCAACCTTTTGTTCTAAGCTTCTGATTTAATTCACTGGCAGCAACGAATAGGGAGTGTACGTCCATATTTTCAGATTTTGTTTTCCTTGCGAAAAAGTGATTTAAAGTTAGTTTGAGTTCCTTAAAAACATAAATTTCGAAGAATTTAGCTCCCAGACCCCTCCCCTTTTTATCCTCGGATAAAAAAATTTGATGCTTTTGATGATGGAACTAATTATCATTGTATTGGAATATTTTGTGAAAAATTCCAATGTGAAACAAAGAATTGTCAAGAATTCTCTAACTTGATCCTTTTGTTGAAAAAATTCAGGATTAAATGTCCCACACATCAAGCCTGTCCGTTTTACCTTTTTTGTAGAACTTAAAAATGTCCATAAGTTGTATTGTATAGCTTTTTTTATCGGTGTTTGTGAGGAAGATGAAGCCCGCCCCCATTTTATGGCAAACGCTCAATCGTTTCAGCGCCCCCTCGCGGCCAATTACTCTCCATGTTTTTTGGCAAGCGTCCAAGGTACAGAACAAACGGTCTCACAGATCGGAAATTACCCTGTTAAATATTAACTTTTTATCATAAAAAAAACCATGTTGACAGCTAATTCATCAGTTTCTTGTTGACTCTGTATTTTCCGCCTGTTACATGGGACATTAAAAACGTATTATTGCACATTTGGTTTCTGTTTTTGTTTAGACGTTTGATTCTGTTTTCGAATTCTCATAAGTTGTCTCTGTGAAATATTAACATTTTGTCATCTAACAAAAAATTGTTGACAGCTAATCAGTTATAACTTGTTGACTAATTTTTTCCATGTTACGTGGGACATGGAAACTATTACATTTACCGGATGTTTAAATTTTGTTTTTGTTTAAACATAATTCTGTTTTCGAATTCTTAGATAATTTGTCCAAAAATGAATCAACAAACAACATGATCATGTTGCACCATGAACCATGGAGGAAGGAAAAGATACACGGAACAAAACTTTCCTGTTGAGCCAAATAATTGATGATTTCCAAAATTTCCTCTGACTAACGAAATCGATTTGTACAGTTTGGGGGCAAACATTTTAACTTGGCCTCCATATCGTTATGTTTAACTATTAAGCTTTAGCTGTTTGAGTTGTATTTGTATTGATCTCCTTTTTTAAATAAGGGTATCATGGTGGATGATTACGTAACAGTGCAATCACTTTAAAACGTATGACAAATACATATTGTGAGATATTTTAAGGTTGTATAACTGTATACTGGAAACGTTTCAGAAGTGGATTTACATATAACGGTGTACGATACACAACCGGAACTACTTTCTTCACGAAGTTGGCTATTTAATTAGACTTGTGCAGTCTTTTGTTTGCACGCAAGATGTTTGAATTTTATAAATCCTTTCAAATCAACGCAGTCGGGCGAAGTTTTGCAATTGCCAAATTTGTTAACTCAGGTGAAAGTGGTGGCGACAAAAGCATGTGTATTTGTTTGTAATACTTTACAATGTAAATGTTTTGAAGGATCTTTAACACGCACGAATGCAAGGCAGCACTGGTCAAGTCTAACACGCTTTTAGATACACGCATGGGATCACAAAGGACGTGCAATTCTGTACGCAAACTTGCACCAGAAAAAGCAATAATATTTACTCAAAGCCAAAGCAAATATGGGGATCGATGGTCCAAATTTCGCTGACAGATTTCCACCAGAAACTGGTAGAATCTACCACACGGGTACCATGACACTCCGTAAAGTGTGTACAGGTCTTTTTGCTCATAAAGCCTGACATAAACACTCAAGAACTTTTGCTTCAACTTTTGACGTTAGCCATACCAAATTCAGACGTGTTATCATTCTTTCGTCCGTGCTTATACCAATTTGTATTTCGTCGCACGGAGCTACACGCGACATTGAAATAAGTGATGAATACGGTACAAGTAAAGATGGCCGATCGATTTGTTTTTTATTTGAAACAAATTCAATGAAAGCATTCTCTTCGGAACAACAACAAATATTTTGAGCAACGTATTTAGACACAATACGGAGAAGGTCGTACTAAATATAACGACGATTCACTTGTAAATACTTCCCTCGTCCCCCACCCCCAGGGCGCGGCGGGGGGTACGAGCGAATTGTAAATACACGGTCAAAGATTTACGAACAAAAATATGACCTTAAACTAAATCGGGATATCACTTTTCATAACAGACCAAGTGCATATTCTGATGTATGGAATTTGTCTGTGTTTTTGTTTTATAAATTATGAATTTGTTGCATTTTTGTACTGTAGGCCTACTGGTACTCATCATTTTATTTATCGATAGTTGCCTTGCGGGCTGTTTTCACCGAAATAATGCCTTTAATAATAATATTAATTTATATATTTATTATCAGTTTTTATTTGACACTGGGTATTCTTACTGTCGTATGCACGTATCGTTCTGCATAATGTTCAAGACAGTGCCGATGGAATGTAAACACGCCGATTATTGACAAAACACTCTCACTGGCTACAACTCAAGATGATTTGTCGAGGTTATTTTTAGATCTCAGACATGCGCATTGCCAACCACCTGCAAAATCAAAGGCGAGCGGTGTCTCATAATGAGGCATTATGCAAATGTGATGGCTACGTCAATCGCCAGCCTCTGACGTCACGTCTGGTTGACGTCACCGCGCTAGGGACTGTTGTGACAGCGCGCATGGCGTACAGACTGGAAATTGCCAGAAAGAAACAAGTTCTAACACACACGATCCGGATGGAACGAGTCAGACGAACGGCGTGCACTTAAACGTTCACAACGCGTATTTTTGGCGGGCTTTTGCGAAGATATTTTGACGGCGTGACAGTGCGGCATATGGTTCAAGACAGCTGGACGTTTGTTTCAGTATCGCTTCTTATTTGCAGTTTGACAACATCTTTATTACAGAATTCCCGAACGAAATTCTTAAGGTAAGCTTTCTACTTAATACATATTATCCAACAAATATAGTAGGTTTTATAAAAAAAAAATTAAATTTATCTTCGCTCGGTTTAAAAATGTAACTTTGGACATATCCATCTGCTGATGAACGCGTAATACGCCGTTTGCAATTTTTTGAGGTAATCTCTGTTGTGCAGGTACACGGCAGGCCTATGTCAAACTTGTGTTTCTCCAAATTACGCCTTGGTCTATTATTAGTGAACTCAATTTACAATATTGATTGAATTTTACAATCTTATATACAATTCTGCGATGTGCATTATGCGAATGTATGTGAAAAGTACCGAACCACTGAATTTGCTTAGAATATAATTATTTAGACATGGAAGCAGAAATTTCAGCTGAAGGAATAAGTCTTTCATCCATATACGATACTTTTTGATGCAGAAATTGAAAGTCAGTTGGAATTCGATGTGTTTGTGCATATGGAAACTAATTTTGCTAGTGTAAACAAAAGGTTTGGACATGGACGAGCTAAGAGTTGCCAGTACCGGGTCTTTAATTATTCCTATGAAATAACATTTATATTCAGGTTGATAATTATATAACTTTACTAGATAGATGTATAAATGTGCCCTTGCTTAAAATGCACATTTTTTGTTTCCTTTTAAACTTTGTTCCGTTTGTTACAGGATCTGTAAAATATTTTGAAAAAAAAGGGGAAATTATTTGATGATGGCAAAATTTAGTCCTTGAATTGCCAATATCCGTGTTTGGCTTTTAGCACCGTTTGCAGAAAGAGGTAATTTTCCCTTCGCATTCGCAAATCATTTGGTGTGAACATTGAGTGGGCGGAGTGCCCATCACCGGGTGGGGGGACGAATAAAATGACAGCAATTAAATCATGTACGCTCAGAGAACATTGGCGAAATTAACTTATCACCTAACCAGCTTTCATGATCTAACACGTCCGCGTATGCGCATACAGCATTGCTACATACGTACGTGAGGTTCGCACGTGTAAGCCTATGCGCCTTCATCAACAACGCCAGCAGAAGCAAGCACTTCTGGTGCGCCCCGGCGCCAGTATATTGCGAAACACCACATCAATACTTGCCTCAAAAGCTGTTTCCTAAAAATAATATCCCCTACTATTTCCAAAAAGTTAATTTACGGAGGAATAATAATTAATATCGAAGGGAAGTCCAGCGTGATTTTGGTATACATGGCCGGAAGCTATTTTTTGTGTCGTTTTGTTAATTAGGGGAGATGAGAAACCGTCTTGCTTGTAAACACGCCCACGCGTCCGAAACCGCAACCGACAAGGTTGTGATTGGCTGCAGCTCTGAATGTGACGTATCGGAAATCCCCTGTGCTTATAATGACAGATTAATGGGGAAATACTACTAATACGCACGTACGATATAATCAACCACAAATAACAATATTTTAATAAAATTCCAGGTCTATATCCATCAGGCCTAAAATAAAATTAAAAATCATTCTCGTTCAAAGTAAAAAAAAAGAAGAAGAATTTTGTCCCAGGTTTGATAAGGTTTTGTTTCATTGCTATAGCGCAGGCATGAGATTTTTTTTATCTGAAATCAGACTTTTTTTAATCTGAAAGACATTATCAGTATAGAAAGAAATGCATCTTTCAGACCTTTCATAAATAATTTTGAGACTTTTTATTAATTGACAATCTCATCCCCGACAGTGTGAGGTATTTAAGGGGAAAACAAACAAAAAAATCTCCAAAATTATCGCTACACATCACCAGTCACATCTTCATATAAAATTATTCTTGTTTGTCGCATTTCTCCTTCAAAATGGACAGCAAGTCTCTATTTCTGTCAACATCATCTTCATGTTCCGAGAATAGACCATTATGCATGGCCAATTGCAATGCACACGGCGGCAGACTGTGGTCTATATTCACTGAGTGACTCACGTCTACAGTCGAGACTATTGAAGAAGACAATACGGGGAAAAAAATCTACACTTTCCCTGGCGTCCTCGGGCAGTAAAAAAAATTGTATTTATGAGCTACCCAGACGGCAGTATGCTCCACGATTTTCGGCATATACCCACAAATAACACGCGTTCATTTAGAATTCTTAATTTGCACAGTAATTATTTTTCGGCTGTAGAATATATCATACAAATATATATAACATGTATTTTGTAGCCAAAAAAAGGAAGAAAAAGAAATAGTGTTTATGTTACGAAATAGAATCACATGATAATTACAAGTGAGATATCGCATTCGTACGAAAGAGTCACCTTTTTTGTTTTGAGAAAACGGAAAGTTGAATTTACCTAAATAGAAAACCTATGTTCTTAATTGTACCAACGGCCTTCCTGACACACGCACGTTTAAAAAAAAATCAAGAACGTTTCCAACTCGGCATCTTCCAGCAAAAATCATTGAAGAGTTTTCTTCAGGAGGTCGTGGGTTCGAGTCCCACCTAGGAGGTTCGAGTCCCACCCACGAGGTGAGCAGGAGGTCGTGCGTTCGAGTCCCACCCGAGTAATCTTTTTCCAACTTTCACTCGGGAGGTAACACACTGAGTATATACAGTGTTTAAACGTCGGCGAAGGGCAAAACCTATAATTTGATTTATATCACCCCGACCCAAAAAAAAAATCCATCTTATAATAGAAGAATTTTGCTTCCATTTTTTTTCTGCAAACGGCATCATTTCGTTCTTGGACAATTAAATAAGTATTTAACAAAAGTGCGTGTGTAAATTGTCATCACTAAAAGATATTGATGAGGTCGACCGTCATCTCGTGCTGAATTGTCGATCGTGAAAGGTTCAGTTGGAAATTGTGATCTTGAAGTTGATAAGCTCGGAGCGCGCGTACACGAAGGCCTAAAAGATGCGGGGATGAATTTTTATGAATGAAAAGGGGGCTATGACGTCATTGAAAGCGTGGGCGCACGCAGCGTAGGATGAGGGGAGAACCCGTCTGTGAAATGTGAGTAATTGCGCAATATTTCCGTTCGGAGCCAAAATTTGACGAGACGAGGTTTGCGTGGGAGGAGGATGCGGCATGGCGAGGTGGTGGTTAGGGTGGAAATACGGGCGATTGAAGGGGGGGGGGTGGATGGAGGGGGCGACCGGGCGAGAGGACATCAGGCACGATTCGAGGGGAGGATTTTTGCAGCTAGGAGTGGGAGTTGAAGACGTGAATGGAGGGGGGGGGATTTGTGATTGCGTAGGAAGTGTAAGAGTGCATTGATGCAGTGTTGAAATAGCTCGTGTGGTTTGGTAAATCAAATTAATGACATGCATTTTAATGAAATGCTGAATTAATGCTTTGTTTGAGGACGGGCGGGTTTCAGACTGCCTAGTGCTGCGTAAAGCATGGATGTGTAGAATCCATTTGGCAAAAGTATCCCCAACATTTCGATTTCTTTACATCCACTTTTGACGTATGAAAGAAAATTTACCGCTTATTAACTTAACAACAATCTATACAAAATAAGATACCACATGCGGGATAATGTAGTAAAGACTAAAACGAATTTTAACTGTAACTGAAAAGCGATATCAGATATCGAACAAAATATAAACAATACCTTAATAGTGCTGTACAAATCGGCAAGCGGAATAAAGTCCCTGAAAAGGTATATTTTGTCAGAAGATATAAATAATAAATTGCTAATGATTTCACAGGAAGTGAAAGTGGAAAATGCAGAGCCAAAATTGTCGACTTTTTACGAGTGGTAAAATTAAATTTTGAATATAACGCCTATATTAAACCTTAAAAAAAACCGCTTAGCTTAAATTTTATATAGGCCGAAATTAATTATGGTTTATTGAAATTAACAATCAAAAAATATTAATTTGAGCCCACTGCAATTTCCTCCTTTTACTTATTTATTTATCGATATATTAGGCTATATCTTTTTCTTTCTTTTAAGTGGGTGACTCAGTGTCCGTAGAAATAAAGTAAGCTGCTTTGAGCGTTTCTCAATTTCTGTACTGGATGAGTAAACATGCGGGGGTGGGTTCCAAAAAAAAATGAAAAAAGGTTTTAACCACAAACGGTCAGGTTTACTTATTACACGCATCGTGCTTTAATGAGTTTGCAACAGTGGATAATCTACTTTTTACCTATGTTGCACTTTTTTTAAATGAGTTTTGTAATTATTAACTTGTTATCAGTTTGTATGCGACTATACGCATGCGCAGTAGCACGAGTGCAAATTTATCACGAGTATATTTTCAGCACGGCTAACTGTGCCCGGGTTCAGGTTACGCCTTTTGCGCAACACGGATACCGAAGTCCATCGTGTTACACACAAACAACTTCTGCTTTGGTTTTTCAGGGGAAAGTTTATTACTTGTTTAATCATTTGAGGAAAAGGATGTTGATATTAATGTTTTGAATGAGCGTAGGTGTTGCCCATTCGCAATTAATGTTCTTGTTTGTGTCCGCGTTTCGAAGATCGATGACATTTAAAAACGCTTCATGTTTGTTTTTGCAACTGGCAGAACTCCGTAACTTTTCGAAACTCGGAAATTAATCTTCGCGGTTTTGTCCTTTTAACCTGACAAAACTGATCCCTGAAATGTGATCGTGATGTTTCCAACTTTTACATAATATCAAAACAAAAACACCTCCGTGGATTTCAATACACAGTCGAAACTGATCACGTAACTCCGGAATAAACTGGATCAGCCCTGCCCCCACAACAACAAAAAAGACAGAAAATGTGTGACAAATGGTTTATACACACCCCACCCACACAAGAAACATAATACAATCTTTCCTAGAAGAAAACAAACTGCCCCGAAAAGTGCATGCACTTTTTAAGTAACCCTAACAGTCCTGAATTCTCCCATTTTAATACGATTAAGAGAAAAAAACCATGATTATTGTGCCGTAGCTGTTGAAAGAACTGATGATGGACAAATAATAACTCGCTTTAACCGTAGAGGGCGTTGTACCACCAACCGTTGTAATGACAACGGTTGTGTCATTATGGTTTGATTGTCAATAGACGGGCAGTTGGTAGTCATATTATTTTTTTATCAAAATTAAGCTCACATTAAAAAAAAAAGATATGACTTTTTCAATAAAAAAAATACCAGTCACCAGCGGATAAGTTCAAATACGGTGCATCATAACATGAAACTTGACCTATATCCATAAAACAAGATTTTAGTAATATTATACTGAAATTTCAGTCTGGGCATGCAATAGAAGAGTTGAAAATCCCCTTGTAAAACTTGTCATTGTATCATGAAAATGACGTCATACTTGCAATTGAGTGCACGGTGAATTCCCCAAAATGTGGAAAATTACTGCAATATTATTGCACAACCATCGCGACACACGGTAACTCACCTACTGAATATTCATGAGCGATAAATATGTTGTCGGGGCCAATCCATTACTTAGCCAATCAGATCGGCAGAACGGCAAACAATCGTATAAGCTGCACTTGCCCCGGGGTATATAAGTTCGCGCATCAGTTAGTGCCGTAAAAAGTAGCGCGTGTTTGGAGCTTTCCCCTGGAATTTTCTGTTATTTTTTTCAGGAAACTATTATTCATTTCCCTGAGTTCAGAAGGTTGTGTGTAATAAGTGAGTGTCAGGGCGTCAGTTATTGCAGCAATTTGAAGGGAAATTGCTAAACAGCTGTTTCGGCGGATGATTATTTAGAGGTCGGTGAGTGAATCGGTCCCAGCTGATAGAGCTGACATCTGCATTCTGGTTCTGACAAGTGCAGACAAGCAGTGCCTATGTGCGATAGTTTCATACGGACATAACTTTCCACTGCACAGAGTTTTAATTTCTCAGTTACCTCACTTGATTTTGTGTCATTTGTGCTTCCTTTCTCTGTCCATTCCTCCAGCTGTCACTGCTTGGAAAGACCGGAATACCGTCCTAAAACGAAGCAGCAATATTATCACCATGGCCTCTACCGATTCCTCGACGCGTTTCCAGGTGCTGAGTTTCGAGCAAGTCAGCCGACTGGACCACGTACTGCGGGACACCATGACCGTGCACGGTAGGGGTAACTTTCCAACTTTGGACATAAATCTTTTGGAATTAATCGATGTGGTGCGGGAGAAACTTGAAGACGGGGGTGTTCAAGTTAGAGGGGTCAGGCTGAACGGTGGGGCGGCCAGCCACATTCTCTGCGCCTCGGAACACCAGTCTTACAACGATGTCGATCTGATTTTCGGAGTCGACTTGTCTCGGACTGAGAACACTCACATCATCAAGGAGGCAGTCTTCACCTCCTTGCTGAACTTTCTGCCCGAGGGAGTCAGCAAGGCCAAGATGAGCTCCTGTACCTTGCAGGAGGCTTACGTCCAGAAGATGGTCAAGATCTACACCGAGAATGACCGCTGGAGCCTCATCTCCCTCTCCAACCACACGGGCAAGAACGTGGAACTCAAGTTTGTCGACCGGATGAGGCGTCAGTTTGAATTCAGTGTGGATTCATTCCAGATCATCCTGGACTCCCTCCTCTTCTTCTACAAGCTGTCTGAAATCCCCATGAACTCCAATTTCTACCCGACAGTCATCGGAGAGAGCGTGTTTGGAAACTTCGACGAGGCGCTGTACCATCTCAACAACAAGCTGATCGCGACGCGGAATCCAGAGGAGATACGCGGAGGCGGGCTCCTGAAGTACTGCAACCTCCTGGTCCGGAAATACCTCCCAGCTAGCCGCGAGGAGATCAAGATCCTGGAGAGATACATGTGCTCGCGGTTTTTCATCGACTTCAGCGAGCTGCCTCAGCAGCAGCAGAAGCTGGAGAGCTACCTGAATGACCACTTTGTCGGGGACAACATCAGTAAATACGAGTATCTGATGATCTTGCACAAAGTGGTGGACTGCAGCACGGTCTGCCTCATGGGACACGAGAGGAGGCAGACGCTGACCCTCATCGCCGACTTGGCGCAAGAGGTTCAGCGATCGCTGGCCTTCCAGCACCAGCAACAACATCGGCCGCAGGTGTTCAGCAGCCTGCGACAGCAGCAGCATTTCCACCAGTACCACAACAGCAACAACCACCACCATCAGCACCATCGCCAGCTGGCAGCCCCCACGATGCACCACCACCGACACCAGCCGTTTATTCAGTACAACTACAAGCAGGGAGGCTACTACCCATCTAACGCCTACTACGGTCACAAGGCCACTCACCATAACGGCTACACAAACTATAACACCAATCTGATGCATGCTTACTAAAGCAAAGGCGTTACTGCCTAACACCCCTCTACCAGTAAACTCATGTGTATTGTGGATACAATGGACAAAAGAGGTGAAAAACTAAAATACCAATCACCATGGAAACCTGACTTGCCAACACCTTCGTGGAAGGATGTAACTGATTTCAATTTCTTCCAAGATTGGACCTACATGTATCTGTACATTTTAAAAGTATTAAAAAACAAGTGCCGACATAATATGTGTTAAAAAGATCCACAAAAACAGCAATCTTGTATCTTTACATTTCGGTTCCATGTTATGCATTCCAATTTGTTGCTTCTTTTTTTGTGAACAGAAACTTATACACTGTTCTTATGCTCTGATGGTGTTTGATTGTGTAGACACAGAATGCATTGAAAAGTTTGGCATTGAAGTTTGAAACAGGATGCAGTTAAATCCTTCCGAAAGGTGCTCAAAGTGTGTGACATAGGAAAGTTGAAAAGAAAATTGTATTTTACTCGGACGAAGGGAGCCTAAAACTCTGCTAAATCTTACTTATCTCGAGTGCTTACTGCAATGACAATAGATCTTCCTTACTTGCAAAAAAGAAAAACTTATCAAAAATTGTATAAATTGTAAATTGTCTTTTGAAAAAAAAAGGAAAAAATTGTTTTGTTTTTAAGTCAAAAGTTAAGTGTTTTCCGTTTTGGAATGCTTGGGACCTTTTTTTGTGGCTTGTGGTGATTACGCAATCCTTCTATAAATAGATATCTTGACCTTTGATGTGTTCAGTGTCCAAAGTTTGAAGGTCCCAATTGTTTGGGGAACATGTAGTTCCGTCTATCGGACAGGGAAAAATACAGAAATCTGCAAATTTTGCAAATAGCAAGCATCAATCAGGTTTTTTTTTTAAGTATAGGTTAAAATTAAACACGATTTCGTTTCATGGATCATGCCTGCAGGGGTGAAAGCTATAGCGGCCCAAAAAAAGTCCCTGTGCGCATTTTCAAAGTTTGATTTTATGCTAAAGGCCAAAACAAAAAATTGTTTTCACTAATTCAAAACTTACAAAAAAACATGCTTTTTAAAGTTGCTTGTCCATTGCCAGGTTTTAGTTCACTTGAACAATTGTTGCTATCAGAAGCTGGAGTAGAGTGACAATATCTTTGTAAAGTTGTATTGTTTGCTTTTACTTTGTTTTGGCTGTGAAAATTAGTTAAACTGTCTTGGTCATTCAGAATTCGTGAGATATTGTAAATTTTAAATTTACAGATATTGAGATATAACTGAAGCATCGCCAATGCACAAAAAGTACCAGGGTTCATGTTGTGTATTTAAAATGTAACAACTTTTACACGGTATGAACTACGCCTGAAAATGTTCCAATAAGGATACAAAATGCTGTTCTGTATGTTTGTTTAAGTTGGCTTCTTGTGGTGCTGTTTTGTGGAAAACAAGTTTCTGCATACAAATTTTTAAAAAATGGTCCAAAGTTAAGAATAGAGTGTTTCAAAGACATGCATGTAACTTACTTGAGCTTACAAGTCCAGAAACACTTCAGTGGCCTAAATTTCGTCACAAGATTATTTTCCTTCAAATACGTGCATACACAAAGTGAAACAATTTTGTCGTTTGTGTACAGCGCTGGCCTTTCCATTCAAATGATCCATTCCTATATCATCACAGGCAGTTCGTTTTACAGAAAGAAATTGTAATGTGTTTTCTTAAATTTATTCTTAGGTGTGTTTATAAAGTTAAGTGGTTGTCTGTAATTGACTGTCCTTTCGTCAAAAACCAATTGGAAAATTGTCAAGGTAGCACAAAACGTTGAGCTAGTGACTAGTGAGAGCCTAGACAGTGTGTACCCTTTCAAACTGGCCAAATCTGTGTGGATGCACAAACACAAATGACTTTGTCCTTCAAAATCCCCAGGTCTTTTGAGGAGTGGGTTGTTTTGTCAACTCAAAGCCCATGCCCTTTGATTTTTTTAAACCAAAAATCCATTACTTCCGGCATTTAACTTGATAAGCTGTCTTTTTTCTCAACTGCATACTAAAAGCATTTTGCGTTTGACGCCTCAAACCAAAGCCAACCGTTCCCGAGCGTAAATGGTATTCAACTGATACAAACTTTTCTAAGTAAAGTAGTCGATCACAGTGTCAAAATCTTGTTCGATTTTGCTTCTTTGTCCTCAATTACAATGGTTTCTTTTCGCAACTTTAAAAGTGAAATATGAAGTAAAACATATTTTTTATCAGCTAGGATTGGCCTTGGGCTGTCACTGTTGGTATGCAGTTGATCTCACAACTGTTTTTTTTTGTGCTGCTTATGCTACTCTGTTCAATCGCTTTAATATTCAATGCTCGTTAATTTTTTTTCAACTTTCTACAGTTTTTATGTCCAATATTAAGGCTCTTAATCTGCTACAGTACAGATCCCAGATGGACTCGTTAAAAACATTGAAAAATATTCAAGTAACAAATCCTTGAATTTGAAAACCCATCCAACCCAAAAATTTGCAAGGTTGTTAATTACATTATTCAAGTTTAAATTGGTCTGTTCTTTTTTCTTCTTTTTTACCTGACAAACGCCTGTAGAAAACGTTTCATAGCTGGGCAGTTTGTACCTGCTGTTTCAAATAAAAAACACCCACACCGTGTCACGGTGTGGTGTGGACCAACTCATCCGTCACAAAAAACTCGCTGGATCGGAAATGATCTGCAAGGCGGCAGACATTTATTACTGCATGTATTTCCTCGCTTCAGGAGATTCCAGCATTTTCTGTTGGTGGGTGATGTTCCACTGCAAATTGAGTGCGAAAAAAATTGAGCGTGAAACATTTGGATTCATTAGCCTGGTGGTGTTTTGATCAAGTTTCGCTCATGCGGTGAATTAGTAGCACAGTCGTGTCCGCGAGAAGATTCAAGTCGGGTTTCGTTTTGTGACAAATGTGTATGCAAGACATTCAAGTAATATGGCAAGAAATACTCATTAGGTTTCACTTTTGTCAAAAAAAAAAATTGATTACCAAGTAATAAGGTCATAACTAGCAGGTAAAGAACCTGATGGTCTTATCTTATAAATATTCGAAGATTGGCAATTTACATAATACCCTGACCGGTTATATGCAAATTGAAGTGGAATATCTTTGCCCACACAATGGGTTCAATTGACGTATGTGGACAGATGATCATATTATTTGCACACAATTTAGGAGAAAAGTTTAGTGCTCATTTGAGCTACCTTGCTTAGTCGGTGATGGTTGATGTTAATTTTGTCATGAAATCTTGTTTACATTTATCCGGTTAGCTGGAGTGGAACAGCAAGTAATGCATTTTCTGTCTTGTAGTCGGATGGCTAAGTAGCACCACTGGACACACTACATTTTCCATGTCCCCACCAGAGCAAGCTGGAAAACAAATTTATCATCACCCAAACTTTAATAACTCTTTATTAACTGGGCATGCGGTCTTGGGATGCTGTTTCTAAAAGTGCGCATGAGAACAGAGCACATGCATATAGATTTTGTACTGCACAATATATCTGATGTTCTCAGATGATTTGACCAATCAGCAAGAAAGAGAAGAGGACTGAACAAAAGTTTTCTTGAAGGCATCTTACACTTTTTGATTTATGTGAAGTTAAGAACCCTGAACTTACATGATATATGTTTTTACGTTTCACGTTCTTATGTTTCACAGTGTCGAGGGCAAGCATGTTAAAATATTCGTCTAGGTTACTGCACTTGCAATTTGGTTGACCTTCGAAAGGAATACTTTCTGACATTGTATATTTTGTTTCGTTCTGTGGTGTGGTTTACCCGCAGTTTGAATTCCGTGGATGGATTATGCATGCTGTTTCTCATTAGATCCCTGGGTCGTAAACAAAAAAATTCAATTTCATGCTTGTATTGTTTTCCTGCTGGGAATGCAGTTTCGCCAAACGAATTTGTTTAAATCTTTGTTGGAACGTTTAATGCATTTATAGAAATTCCAATTGTACCTGTACATTAATGCTTTCTCGGCACCGAATCGAACACTTGTTGCAAAAATGATTGATCTTTGCCGTATATATGCGTCACAACTCAAATTCTCCAAACTTACCCTATTTTATTCGAAAAATCAATTTCCACATGTCAATGGTCTATTGTTAGCTACCATTCATAACTATGGTTGTGCAGGGTAGAAATGACGCATGGAACAGGTTATGAGACCGACATCAATAGTGTAACACCGTTGCAATTGTGTCCTGCGCAAATCTGGGCTGCAGCGATCAATTTTTGCAACACGTGTGCCGCCCGATTCCGTATTTAAACAGTAAACATATGCTGATATATATGTAAGGTCAACTTCTCTTAATACAAACTCAACCGGACCAATCCAAAATGTTTGTTTTATCAGTGCTTGTCCCATTCATTGTGCACATAAATGCACAGTTGGAATGAAGGCTTTCACTTTAACCAGTAACAGAGTCTGTATACCAGTGTAAAAGCACACTAGGTACATAAATATTCAACCTTTTTAACTGCAAACTGAGGTGTCCACTTACAATTTCAAAAATATCAAGGGACGCACTGTGAATTGAATAACAGCAGCCAAGGTCATGCTAGAGGTCAGAGGTTACAAGGCTGACCTCCCCAGCAGTAATGGCACTTCCTTGCTAATCCCATTGGATTTCCCTGTAAAAGGGTGTTTGTTGCACTCCTGCCCTGGTAAAACTTGAACATGCGTCCTTGCCCTAGGATACAGCATTGTAGTGTATACATTTTCATATTTGACTAATTTCAGTTCATTGCAATCCATTGTGGTGAAACTTGAATTCTTGCACAAAATTTTGGTATGAATCATTGAATAGACCAGGCTGTTCTTGTTGGCTTTTCTGGAAAAATCCTGCAAGGAATTTTCTTTTGGTGTTAACTGAACTGAAACACTCCTTTGTTTGCCCGACTAGAAAAGTCTGGCAAGAACTTTTGCTTTGAGCTGAGCAGGCTTGATGTATTTGCTTTGCCAGAAATATTCTGTCAAAAAGTTTTGAATGTAGTGTGAACAAGTGTGTTAGTGTTTGCCATGCCAGAAGAAAAAATCCTGCAAGATCTTCTAGAAAATATTGTATTTGTAAAACTTCTTAAATAATAAACCTTTCAGTTTCTGGTCCTGAAATTTCCATCTTGTGTAACTGTTATGAAAGCAATAGGGTGAACATTATACAAGTTTCGATCCAATGAGTAATGTTCATAACATGGTGTTCAGTACGTGGTCCCCCAGTATCGGTATACGACCATGGAGGTTAGTGTTCATTGTACATGCGTGTATGTATGCAGTTGTGTAAGAGACGTACATGTACTACCGTTTGTTAAAAATATTTTAAATTAAACTGCTTAGCAGCACTGTTATCAGATATCACAGATTGCAATGCAGTTCGGTTTATTTGCTTAAGTGTTTTGGGAAATCCAAGTTATCGGAGAGGTCAAAGGTCGTTTCCATTACTAATGATGTTTGCCACTTTGTCGTTTTCAGCTGTAAGGAGTTTTACTCGAAAGTATAAACAAAAACGAGTCGGAAAACAAGCCAATTTTAATGCATTTGCTCATTTTGCTTACGCAGTGTATGTGTCTAGTTAAAGAGGCAACGTGAAAAAAAGTGTTTCACATTGTAATTACGCTTTGCAGCTTTATTTGCTACGCAAAAAAAAATGGCCGAAATTCAGTCTGAAGTAAAATCCATCTCTTTGTATTTTGGCTTTTGTCCCGTTTTTTTTTCAGTAGGTTAAACAAGAAAATCTTATTAACTCAAAAGTAAAAAAAAAAAAAGGCAAAAAAATAGTATTTCCTTCTTAAACTGTTCCATTGCCATTTTGTGCCTCTTTAAATAATACCGACTTACTTGCATGTATCTTATTGCTTAAAGGAACTTTCATTTTCAAAGATTGTTTGGTTGATAACCCCAGTTCTTTTCGTTTTATTTCCTCCTTAAAAAAAGTATTTTAGCCTTGTAAGACTCCATTTGACGTTACTAAGTTATTAAGTGAAATAAACATAAATAAATTAGCAATATTGAAACTGCTGCAGGTTACAAATGTAACTCTGACATTTCATTTAACCTTTTGTGAAATTTTAAAATTGCGAAAATGAACTTGTTCAAGTGAATGCTTTCGAAGGATCTGAATGATGGATTTTTCTTTTTTATTATCAACACTTGTATTTTGAATTAACTTAAGTCAGCATTTGCATAAAAAAAGTGACCAAATTGTTAACGTGATTGTCCTTGGTAGATAGGGCACAATGTCAGGCGGTTGTCAATATTTGTAGCTCATCGGAAAAAAATAGCTGTTGGTTATGAAAATATGTGAAATATTGGCATAATGCCAACAAGATAAATATGCATATTGGAACTCTTTTATTGTACAAAATTTCCATAACAAGTCTGTATTGAATGTATGAAAAATATGACAAGAGTCAACAACTGGGTATTAAGTTTGGATTTTTTTTTAATTATTTTTTTATTTTTTTTGTTTCTGGATGGTGAGAAACATTTGTTCATCTTGAGCTCCTGGATGGCCCAAGAAACAAACCTCAAGATTTGTATGGCCAAGTGAAAGTATCATTGAACAGGCTATGAAATTATTTTGTTTTTTTATATTTTTCAGATCGAATTATTTTATTTTATTCATACTTTGCGTGATGTTTACCATTTAAGACAATCCAATCTGATGCAAGAAATGGTCAATTTAGTTCTCTTCTTTGAGTCCTTAACAAAAAAGTTTTATTTTTGACTTGAAAATTCACTAGTAAGTAAACTGATATTTTAATGGAAACAGTTGGTGTTTGCATCTCTTTTTTGTGCTTAAAAAGTCAAGTTATGGAGTAATTGTTTAATGATATTGTATTTAATTAGCTGTAAGGGTTAATTTTGTGTGTTTAACAAAAACAAAACCACAAATTAGAATAACTTATCAGCACAACTCTTTCCACATTGGAAATATGTCACGTCATTTTTATTGTTCATTAAATCAATCTTGGTTGTATATATGCCTGCAAAAAGGTTCATTTAAATCCAGTTTGTTAATAGACTTTCACAAACATGGTAATGACTTTGCTTTGGGTTTTATACCTGGATGCAAAATTCTGATCCATGTTTCACATCAAAAATCTGGCAGAAAACGCTCTCGAATTTAAGTTTATGAACAGAAAAATATATATTGTAATAAAACCATATATATTGTAATAAAAAAGAAAGGAAAAAAGTGACACACTTGTTTTTATATTTGCTTAAATTTGTGCATGTTAAAAGCCCCTTAAATTTTGAACCAACTAGTGTGAACCAATTCTGGTGTCTATTTTAACAGAATATTTTGTGGAAATATATTTGTTCTGGTTAAATCTCTGCAGGGTTATAAAACAAAAACCAAACAAACGGTCAAAGAAAAATGCTGCAAAAAGCTAACTAAGCCTGTTAAAAAAACTACTTTTATGACTGGCATTTTTGCTCTATATTTTTGCAGGAGTTCAGAAAATTCCACTTCCCAGTTAAAAATAAATTTGATGAAATTATCTTATGAACAAATAGTTTAAAACCAACGCTACAGTTAGCAGGAGTAACTCCCGTTCCTAGTAACATAAGGGTAAACATGTCGAATGGGCATGCGCGCGGACTTAAAAACTTTTTTGAATTCACTTGCCGTGTAATACCGTCTTTACAAGGGCGCATGCGCGTGGACTTAAACTATTTTTTTTTTAATTGCGTCAATCGGACCGAATATTTATATATTACTTCCAAACATTTGTAAGTAAGAAGAGCGTGTTGGCCTAGCGGTAGGCACTCTGACGCTCATGCCGGCGCCCCTGGTTCGAATCCCGGCGATGTTTCTCAGAGGACTTTTTACTTCTTTTTAGTTTATACTTTATATAAAAAAGTAATAAAATTCTATTTATTTTATTTTATTTTATATAGTTGGGGTAGACGAGCGATACAGAACTCGGACCAGCCGCAGGTTTCCCTGCAGCCAGTCCGAGTTGCCGCGGCCGGGACTCGAACCAGGGGCACCGGCTTACCCGCTGGGACCTCTACCGGGTGCGCTATCTGGGTCCCCCCGTTGAAACTACACTTCCAATAATTAAAACCCTTAGAATCAACTTAAATAAAAAACATAAAATACGGCCCTGGGTTTCGAACCCGGGTCTCCAGATCAGAAATTCTGCGCCTTACCGCCAGGCCACCGGCACTTCTTGAATTTTTTTTTCGAATTTTAAATATATCAAGTATCGATTTGTACTTAGTAATAAAACCAAAATTTGGAACTCCGGCAGATAGTCGATTCCGCGATCTCTGAGCTAGGAGCGGAAGGATTTTACCACGATGCCACCACACGCTTGGGAATTTTCGCGCGAATTTAAAATATAAGAACTTTCGTTTTTTACTTGTACTCGAATTTTAAAATCGAATAAACATGCATATACCCACCTTCTCAATATCGGTGATTATTGGTTCTGTTGCTCGGTATGTTCCAGACACATGTTCTTCTTGCATCCAAAAGTGATTTTCAGTCGTTTCCAGAAAAGTCGATTTTTGACCAAATTTTGATCAAAATGTAAGGCTAACCCCTTGCAATTTTTTTCAATTTTGGCCAAAAAATGAAATTGCTTGAAAATTGCTAGGAAGATGCCTGTGGGCCGTTGGAACACATTCCCAAACTTTCTCTTGCCAGATGTTCCATATAAAGGAAATAGGGCGTCCACAAATTTGGTAAAAATCTGCAAAAATGGTGATTTTCAAAATCAAAACAAACTGTACTTTTTAACCAAAAATCGTTTATATTTGACCATTATCTCCGAAATATTAACCTCAGAAGTATCAAATCATGATTGTCTTGCATCTAAAAGTGATTTTGAGTCGTTTCCAGAAAAGTCGATTTTTGACCAAATTTTGCCAAAAATGTAAGGCTAACCCCTTGCAATTTTTTCAATTTTGGCCAAAAAATGAAATTGCTTTTAATTTGCTAGGAAGATGTCTGTGGGCCCTAAGAACACATTCCCAAACTTTCTCTTGCCAGATGTTCCATATAAAGGAAATAGGGCGTCCACAAATTTGGTAAAAAAAATGCAAAAATGGTGATTTTCAAAATCAAAACTGTACTTTTTAACCAAAAATCGTTTATTTTTGACCATTATCTCTGAAGTATTTAGCTTAGATGTATCAAATCATGTTTGTCTTGCATCAAAAGGTGATTTTGAGTGGTTTCCAGAAAAGTCGATTTTTGACCAAATTTTGATCAAAATGTAAGGCTAACCCCTTGTATTTTTGTCAATTTTGGCCAAAAAATGAAATTGCTTTAAAATTGCTAGGAAGTTGCCTGAGGGCCCTAAGAACACATTCCCAAATTTCCTCTTACCAGATTTTCCATATGAAGGAAATAGGGCGTCCACAAATTTGGTAAAAATCAACAAAAAGGGTGATTTTCAAAGAAAACCAAACTGTACTTTTTAACCAAAAATCGTTTATATTTGACCATGTTCTCCGAAATATTTAGCTTAGATGTATCAAATCATGTTTGTCTTGCATCAAAAGGTGATTTTGAGTCGTTTCCAGAAAAGTCGATTTTTGACCAAATTTTGATCAAAATGTAAGGCTAACCCCTTGTATTTTTTTCAATTTTGGCCAAAAAATGAAATTGCTTAAAACTTGCTAGGAAGTTGCCTGAGGGCCGTTGGAACACATTCCCAAACTTTCTCTTGCCAGATGTTCCATATAAAGGAAATAGGGCGTCCACAAATTTGGTAAAAATCAACAAAAAGGGTGATTTTCAAAGAAAACCAAACTGTACTTTTTAACCAAAAATCGTTTATATTTGACCATTATCTCCGAAATATTTAGCTTAGATGTATCAAGTCATGTTTGTCTTGCATCAAAAGGTGATTTTGAGTCGTTTCCAGAAAAGTCGATTTTTGACCCAATTTTGATCAAAATGTAAGGCTAACCCCTTGCAATTTTTTTCAATTTTGGCCAAAAAATGAAATTGCTTGAAAATTGCTAGGAAGATGCCTGTGGGCCGTTGGAACACATTCCCAAACTTTCTCTTGCCAGATGTTCCATATAAAGGAAATAGGGCGTCCACAAATTTGGTAAAAATCTGCAAAAATGGTGATTTTCAAAATCAAAACAAACTGTACTTTTTAACCAAAAATCGTTTATATTTGACCATTATCTCCGAAATATTAACCTCAGAAGTATCAAATCATGATTGTCTTGCATCAAAAGGTGATTTTGAGTCGTTTCCAGAAAAGTCGATTTTTGACCCAATTTTGATCAAAATGTAAGGCTAACCCCTTGCAATTTTTTTCAATTTTGGCAAAAAAATGAAATTGCTTAAAACTTGCTAGGAAGTTGCCTGAGGGCCGTTGGAACACATTCCCAAACTTTCTCTTGCCAGATGTTCCATATAAAGGAAATAGGGCGTCCACAAATTTGGTAAAAATCAACAAAAAGGGTGATTTTCAAAGAAAACCAAACTGTACTTTTTAACCAAAAATCGTTTATATTTGACCATTATCTCCGAAATATTTAGCTTAGATGTATCAAATCATGTTTGTCTTGCATCAAAAGGTGATTTTGAGTCGTTTCCAGAAAAGTCGATTTTTGACCCAATTTTGATCAAAATGTAAGGCTAACCCCTTGCAATTTTTTCAATTTTGGCAAAAAAAATGAAATTGCTTAAAACTTGCTAGGAAGTTGCCTGAGGGCCGTTGGAACACATTCCCAAACTTTCTCTTGCCAGATGTTCCATATAAAGGAAATAGGGCGTCCACAAATTTGGAAAAAAACTGCAAAAATGGTGATTTTCAAAATCAAAACAAACTGTACTGTTTAACCAAAAATCGTTTATATTTGACCATTATCTCCGAAATATTAACCTCAGAAGTATCAAATCATGATTGTCTTGCATCTAAAAGTGATCTTGAGTCGTTTCCAGAAAAGTCGATTTTTGACCAAATTTTGCCAAAAATGTAAGGCTAACCCCTTGCAATTTTTTCAATTTTGGCCAAAAAATGAAATTGCTTTTAATTTGCTAGGAAGATGTCTGTGGGCCCTAAGAACTCATTCCCAAACTTTCTCTTGCCAGATGTTCCATATAAAGGAAATAGGGCGTCCACAAATTTGGTAAAAAAAATGCAAAAATGGTGATTTTCAAAATCAAAACTGTACTTTTTAACCAAAAATCGTTTATTTTTGACCATTATCTCTGAAGTATTTAGCTTAGATGTATCAAATCATGTTTGTCTTGCATCAAAAGGTGATTTTGAGTGGTTTCCAGAAAAGTCGATTTTTGACCAAATTTTGATCAAAATGTAAGGCTAACCCCTTGTATTTTTGTCAATTTTGGCCAAAAAATGAAATTGCTTTAAAATTGCTAGGAAGTTGCCTGAGGGCCCTAAGAACACATTCCCAAATTTCCTCTTACCAGATTTTCCATATGAAGGAAATAGGGCGTCCACAAATTTGGTAAAAATCAACAAAAAGGGTGATTTTCAAAGAAAACCAAACTGTACTTTTTAACCAAAAATCGTTTATATTTGACCATGTTCTCCGAAATATTTAGCTTAGATGTATCAAATCATGTTTGTCTTGCATCAAAAGGTGATTTTGAGTCGTTTCCAGAAAAGTCGATTTTTGACCAAATTTTGATCAAAATGTAAGGCTAACCCCTTGTATTTTTTTCAATTTTGGCCAAAAAATGAAATTGCTTAAAACTTGGTAGGAAGTTGCCTGAGGGCCGTTGGAACACATTCCCAAACTTTCTCTTGCCAGATGTTCCATATAAAGGAAATAGGGCGTCCACAAATTTGGTAAAAATCAACAAAAAGGGTGATTTTCAAAGAAAACCAAACTGTACTTTTTAACCAAAAATCGTTTATATTTGACCATTATCTCCGAAATATTTAGCTTAGATGTATCAAATCATGTTTGTCTTGCATCAAAAGGTGATTTTGAGTCGTTTCCAGAAAAGTCGATTTTTGACCCAATTTTGATCAAAATGTAAGGCTAACCCCTTGCAATTTTTTCAATTTTGGCCAAAAAATGAAATTGCTTAAAACTTGCTAGGAAGTTGCCTGAGGGCCGTTGGAACACATTCCCAAACTTTCTCTTGCCAGATGTTCCATATAAAGGAAATAGGGCGTCCACAAATTTGGTAAAAATCAACAAAAAGGGTGATTTTCAAAGAAAACCAAACTGTACTTTTTAACCAAAAATCGTTTATATTTGACCATGTTCTCCGAAATATTTAGCTTAGATGTATCAAATCATGTTTGTCTTGCATCAAAAGGTGATTTTGAGTCGTTTCCAGAAAAGTCGATTTTTGACCCAATTTTGATCAAAATGTAAGGCTAACCCCTTGCAATTTTTTCAATTTTGGCAAAAAAATGAAATTGCTTAAAACTTGCTAGGAAGTTGCCTGAGGGCCGTTGGAACACATTCCCAAACTTTCTCTTGCCAGATGTTCCATATAAAGGAAATAGGGCGTCCACAAATTTGGAAAAAAACTGCAAAAATGATGATTTTCAAAATCAAAACTGTACTTTTTAACCAAAAATCGTTTATATTTGACCATTGTCTCCGAAATATTTAGCTCAGAGGTATCAAATCATGTTCGTCTTGCATCAAAAGGTGATTTTGAGTCGTTTCCAGGAAAGTCGATTTTTGACCCAATTTTGATCAAAATGTAAGGCTAACCCCTTGTAATTTTTGTCAATTTTGGCCAAAAAATGAAATTGCTTGAAAATTGCTAGGAAGATGCCTGATGACCCTTAGAGCGCATTCCCAAAAGTTCTCTTGCCAGATGTTCCATATGAAGGAAATAGGGCGTCCACAAATTTTGTAAAAATCAACAAAAATTGGTACTTTTTAACCCAAAATCGTTTGTATTTGACCATTATCTCCGAAATATTTAGCTTAGATGTATCAGATCATGTTTGTCTTGCATCAAACGGTGATTTTGAGCCGTTTCCAGGAAAGTCAATTTTTGACCAAATATTGATCAAAATGTAAGGCTAACCCCTTGCATTTTTTGTCAGTTTTGGCCAAAAAATGGAATTGCTTGAAAATCTCTAGGAAGATGCCTGATAGGCCTTAGAACACTTTCCCAGACGTTCTCTTGCCATATGTTCCATATAAAGGAAATAATGCGTCCACAAATTTGATAAAATTCATCAAACAATGGTACTTTTTAACCAAAACTCATATATATATATTGACAATAATCCATCCATTTGTCATTCGATAGCTAAATCTTTTACGAACATCTGTTTCTGATATTCTTTAGGCGTATGGACCGCGATAGGCTTAGCGGCCGAAGCGTCCCGTACTCGGAGCGGGCGACGCAAAGGTCACTCGTGGGGCCATGGGTCGCTACTCCCGGCGAGGGTTCGCCCTTATGCGCGCTGTCGACACGTGCTGTGCGCTATGGGAGTTTTAGGACCGCTAGTTTCTGTTATTATTTGGCCATCGCGGGTCACGCCACTTGGCCTTTAACCTAAAGGACCTTGAAGTCACGAAATAGTTTGCCTTTTTCCGAAGGACCATCGTTTTTTTTAAATCTCGTTCTGGTAACGGATGGAAATATACTGCACGGAAACATTAACGTAGTACTTCCGTGACCGACATTTAGAATGCCCAACACGTACATAAATAAGACTTTTTTAAACAATGAAAAAAAAAAGGAGTTTGTTTTTCATCCAATTTTACGGAACATTAGTTGACACTGATCGACAGAACACAGGTGTTAAAAGATTATTCCTTTTTAGCGCGGAAAATAATATGTAATACTATCCGTGAAAAAGTTGCTTCAAAACAAAACGACAAAGTTCAGTTGCTTATTACATATCGATTCAAAGTCAGCTTTGTGCCCAGAAAATCACCTGTGAGCTACGATGACCCATGACCTTAAACTGAAATGATTTATTGTTGTTTTTCCTTCCTCTCTAAGCCAATACGAAATATATATTCTTTGTTGAATGACATCTGGTTTCCTGACTTTCAGAATTCCCTATGGGATAGGTCACCTCCACCCCACCATGGCCAACCCAAAACAAAACGTGTTTCTCGGGCCGACCCTTGATAAACAAAATGGACAAGTACTCCCTTTTTTTTTCTTTTCTTTTTTAAAGTAATTACAACGGAAAATCCCCTCCAAAATCGATGAAACGGGTGTGCGCAAAGCTCATTTTCACTGCGCATTTATTTTTGGCAAGCAGTAGTTTTTTGCTCAGTAGTTCTCTGTTTGCTTAGGATTTAAAAACTATGCGATTCTATTTTTAGGATCAAAAGTCAAACTGGGAAACGACCACAAAACACAGCCCGGCCCTGCGCTGCCCCAAGGCGCAAGGTAAAATCACTTGGAGCCGATCACGAGGGGCGGAACAGACCCTGGATAAATCTGGGAGGAAGAAAACGATAAACGAAACTCCCGTGAAACAACAAGGATAGAGAATCAAAAAGCAATGTTGAATACCGATCAGTCTGTTCTTTCAAACCTGCAGGCGATTTTCCTAGCTAATACCATGATGTACCGTCCTACGCAAACTTGTTTGTACGTCTACACCGATTTACGTGACTGAATTTGAAAAAATATCCAGTTTTTGAAAGAATAAAAAGAGGATCGTATTTCCTCTCAAGAGATGGGTAGATTGTCAAAAGAAGAAAAGTATCGTTCAGGACGACAAGATCCTTAGTATTGTTTACAATGAACCAGCATTTACACAGTTTCGAAATAAAGGTGTTGCAACTGCCGATATTCTTGAGGAAAAAAGCAACAAAATGTAACAAAATAGCTCACCAAAACAATAATATGCAGGTTTTACCACTACCAATTTTAATATTATTTACTTTATGTACATTATTAATACATATACGAGGTTCATAGATCTGAATCTAGGCTACTCTTTACAGGGGAAACTTGATGTTTTAAATACTGTAAGGCTTTTTAAATAAGCAAAATGAAATCCTCCTTACAAAAAAAAAAAAAACACTCCAAACAAAAATATATTTGAACCCCCACCAATGAACATATTTTTTTCACAAAAAGTAACCTTCTCTGAGTGAAAAAGAAAATGGGGGAACAATTTTAACCATTTTATGGCATCCAAAATGTCTGATACTAGAAAATTTCATACAGAAATTTGACCAAATATAAAGCAATTTAGCAAAGGAAGACTATGAGACGTAGAATATACCGGTAGAGTTATATATGTTTGAGACATGGGGAACTTGACAAATTTCTCACAAATACTGCAATCATAACTACAGTATGTTCCATAATTTTGAAACTTATTTTTAGCTGGACATGTTATGTGATCTATGGCGTGTGCATAAGGGTATGGCCAGCCTAATGAGGCAAAACAATGATGTTATAAAAAAACTCCAGATCTTAATGATCACGGACAACCACCCGAAACCTAACAACAAAAAACACAAACAAACAAATCAAAATGAACAAACAACACCAAGGGCATTGTCCTGTTTACATGTATATAATTTTGGACACATCGTTTTCCCTTGTAGTTTTCGGGGATTAGTGGGAAAATCCGGTAAGCCTCGTTAATAACACATGTTATGCCGATGTAAAAGCTTGCCAGGTCGACCATAGCAATGTGGAACACTCCCCCCCGTCACAAACACGCCACATCCCCCCTCCCCCACTACGCATCAAAGCCTTCAGCGCATGGTTAATCAACCCACACTAAAAACAAAGCCAGGTTCTTGAAAACCTTCTAACATGACATAAATTGCATGAGCTCGCTAAAAAAAAGACGAACAATTTCAAGTCTGGCCGTTTATTTGCAGTGCTTGTAGGTCACGTTTCTTCCATATTTAGAGGCTTACACAACCACTGTACTTGTAACGTTAACCCCAGCTGTGCTTTATATAAAAATATGTGAAGTGTCATTGAATTTAGGGTGTACAATTTTCTGTTTTGGACAAGTAAATCTGACCAAAATTTAAAGGGAGTTATGTACCACATGGGCTAGAAAGTTAAACTTTTTGTTTGTTATTTCTTGTAATGAAGTAGTTTGCCAGATATGGTCACATGATCTTATTTCATCAACAGAAGAGACTGTGGGTGATGTAATTGGCCCTGGCAATTTAATGTTGCCCAAGTTGGGCACTGCTAGAGTTAAAATCAGGTGACAAAAGTGCGACAGACTTTTACACGTTTGACACTTTTACGAACTATAAGCACAAAACCAAACTTTGTGAGAGATCCGGGAAGCCCCCATATTTTCTTGCACAATGGCATGATCAAACAGGACGTCTGACCATGAATGTATGGTAAAAACATTTTAAAGAACATCAAGTACCACATGATTGCATCTTGTAGACCCATTAAACGGATGCCTCCGAAGTTCAGTCACTGTGTGCCTGACCTGTTATATAGGAGGGTTACCTTCCGACTATTGTTCGCGCTAACTTTGCCATCCTTCGTAGAAGTTTCAAAATTCTGGAGCAGAACTTTTAAAGGGGTGCCAATGACCATGTTCAGGCTTGCAAAACATCAACCTTCTTGGGGGAGGGTGATCTGTGAAATAAAGAAGAGATGAGAAAAACGTTGTTGAATATAAAAAAAAAGGAAATCCTTGATTAGGTTCAGCCGATTGTGAATGATGTATAACTCAAGAGGAAACATTTTATTTTACATAATCAGGCTTATATGTTTTTCTTGACATTTCACGCAACATTGTTGCCCTTCATCAGAAGTTGGAAAGGTCTCAGCATGTAGCCCCCTCCCCCCCTCCGCCCTCGCCAAGTAGCTCAGGAATATCACACAATTGATGGGAACAACAGCAAAGTCTCGAACAGAGAAACAGCTCGATTTACAAGATGGGTGAAAGAAGCTATCTGGATCAGGATAACCGAGAACATGAACAGGGAAGAGGGGGCTACATGCTGAGTCACGTGTGGGACCAGTGTCGGGCTTGCGCCACCTAACGGCCAGATGCTAACAACTTCTGGTGAAGGGCAACAATGTCGCTTGAAATGTCAAGAAAAACATGTCTTGTATAAAATAACACTTTCCTCTTGAATTATAAAAAACTTGGAGAGGATATATATTGGTTAAGCTACTTTTTGATACCGAGAGAAAGTCTTCCTTCATTGCTGGGATCGACCAGCTACATGGTCTTGGGCATTGAATTCGTGGTCTGCGGGTAATTCTTCAGGTTGTGGGTTTGAGTCCAGCCTGAGGCTATGGTGCGTGTGCCCTTGGGCAAGGTACTTTGTCACTTATTGCTTCTCCCCACCCAGGAGTAAATGGGTACCTGTGAGGGCAGAGACGTGCAGAAAAATGGCAGCATGGAGCTGTATACTCCCCAGGGAGCTGAGATTGTATTTGGAATGTTTCATTGGCCCAATGAGCAGGGTAATAATGATAAAGTGCTTTGAAACCTTATAAGAATAAAGCACTATATTTAAGCACCACATTTTTAAATATTATTATTTAATAAATCAAATTAAGGTGAACAAATGTTGGCTCTTTTGCGATTTTTTAAAAACCTTTAAATAATACCCTGCCCTTTTTTACTGCTCATGTATCATTGTGAGCATTTAATAAGTGAAAACAACGAGAACATCTGATATATACAAAAAGATTAAGTACTCCTTCATGGAGTTGTTTAATGTTACAGTTACGCACTGGTGAAGACTGCTTCAGGATTGATAAACAACAAAATTTACGACCCCCAGATTTTTTTCCAGGCAGGAAGCATTTTGCATGTCATCCATTCAATACCATGGATAATAACGACACATCACTTATGAAATATGTTTTTATGAGCATGTTAAAAAATGTTTTCATACGTTTCTAAAAAAAATCAGTACTGATATTCATGTCATAATGGCTATTACATTTCAAATCATAAAAAAAAGGACTTCAATATGCCATAGAAGTGTGACGTCACGCAGGGTCGTCGACATTAGTGATGTGTCCAAATGTCTCATTGGCCATTTTTACAGGGTTTGCACAAGCGATTGAGGTGAACTTGTTCAAGTTGAAATTTCTCAGATATTATTATTAGACCAGAAAGTGAAACCACGCTTAGAAGCTCACAGTAGTTATCACTCAAAACGCGACAGATTCCTTCATTTTTCTTTTCTAACAGATGAAAAATGGATGACAAATTGATGAAAAAGTGGGCAAGTTTGTGTAGCCATGTCACCACGAGCAACACGTGACGTCAACGGCGCATGATGTAACCACTTCTATGGCGTATAATGAATATTTCAACTTTCCATTGTGTTTTTTTTTTTCCACAAAAACATACAACATAAAATCCGCAGGAAATGAAGGGAAGTTCTGATACCATACTAAAAGACTAATGAGCATTCTTTAAAGCCGCTACATATACATGTACATACAATTTAATGACCCAATTATCCAAAGACAACAGATTTTGGTTTCCTTGAGCCACATCATCTAATGATCGGATCAACCATCCGGAATACATCTTCATTTGTGTTTACAGTTACCATCCTGTTTTCTGTCATCTATCTGCCCACTTTAGCTCCGCCCACTCCCATCTCTTACACCTACTGACAGCTCATGTGGGAGACACTACTGTCTCCATTCTATATATGCTCTATTGCATCCCCCCACCCCCTGCCAATTCCCCCCCCCCCCCCCCACGCCACTCTCAGGCATGCAACTAGGCAGTCATAAAAAAAAGAGGAAAATCAAATCTTTCCAAGACTTTGTACAGTGTTTTTCCATTTTTAATGGCACACATGGGAAGTACAAAAAGAGGAAATCAGCCGATCCAAGCCTCCAAGGAAAAGTTGCATGCCTGCACTCTTCAGGTACCTTGCAGATAAGGCCAAAAAAAAAAGTCTCCGGTTTCTGGTATGCGCGCGCGTCGCCGTAGCCATGTGCGTCAGCAAAATGAAAAAGTTTTTTTTTTTCAATGAAAGATGAAAAAAAAAACCTCAAAACCGCCAAACTCACTGGTTTGACTGGAATCCTGCTGCTGCACAATTTTAACGTGTTTTTAGATGGGGTTATGGTCGAGAATAAGCTTTATGTGGCCTCTCTGGACTCCCATATATTTGCACTAAGTTTAGTCGGGCACCATTTGCAGTCATCAGCCGACATTTGAAGCAAAAAAATCAGGTAAAAAAAAAAAGCTGCGTCGCCGCACCACTTTTTGGGCAAGCTCCATACCAGAAACCGGAGACTTTTTTTTTTGGCCTAAGAAACTTAAGTTTCTCAATAACTACTTTCTGTGATTATCAATCTATTACCATAAACAGAATGAGCTAGAACCGACGTCATCCAATAAAGTATTATGGACTTCTGGAAACTACAGGATGACCCCCAAATGCAACCCTGAAACATTTGCCTTTTTAAAAAAAAACGTGATCTGTGAATTTTTATGTTTTGGATATCAGATTAAGGCTGAGAGCTTTTTCTTTCAAATACTGAAAAAAGTCTTGAAAACAGCGTATTGGGTTGCTGAGAAATGCCGATTATGAAAAAGGTGTCCAAAGGTGTTTCAAACAGTGAAATATGTGACTGTTACTAGTGTAAGCACACTGTGCAATTGTCTTTCATTTGTGCAATTTCTTTGATATTTTGACATATTTATGATGCTGAAAAGGTTCAAAATAGAACTATAAAGGATAAGATAGGCCTACATGTTCAGTTGAAAGAGTTCAATCAAATTCATTTGCACTCTGTCATAGTATATGTTCCATGTTGTTTGTAAGGATTAGGACACAATGCGCTACATGCATTTCATGCCCACATTAGGTACAGTGTAAATCCCTTAACTGTGGTAATGCCATTGGAATGGACCAAAAAATAAAGGAGTTATTTTACATAATTGGTATTTTCTCAGCAACCCCATGTGCTGTTTTCATGATTTTTTCCCCAGTATTTGAAAGAAACAGCTCCCATCTATAATGCATTTTTTGGGGGTCACCCTGAACATCTCCAACCAGAAAAGAAAAAAAAATCCTAAGCATTTTCTTCTCTCTTTCCATATTTGCCAATTGAATGACTAAAAGCAACCTTCTTAGGGACTACAAAAAACATAATTTTAAAATAGAAAAAAAATGAAGGGGAAAATGATTTTATTTTGATGTAGTTGCACTTTCCCTCAGGGTAAATGTCCGTCGAACGGTCTTAACTTGTTTTTGACTAAACAGACTAGTGAATTTCACTGCACTTCACGTCTGTTTTGCTCCAACAATTTGGGAAGCTGGGAACTTGGGACAAACCTCCAGCGCTTCAAAATGCCATTAAAAAAAAATCCTTTCAACTGACACCTACACTTATTGTACACTAAAATTGAGAAAGAAAAAGGTCAAACTAAAAACTGAATACAGCAATTATTGTCCAACTGTATACCTGCCCACTCATGCACTGCAGTTTAATTCTTAGGACATACACTGAAAGGAACCCCCATTCAAAACCCCAGACAGTACCCATGGTACCCACCCACGCACCCCTGATCCACCCCCTACGCACCCTTCCAGCACCCACCCTCTGCCAGGGCATACCTTTCAACCGTTCATGGAAACCCCACCGACCAACACAATGTGCATATACAAACAAAGCATCTGCTAGTCAATGCTGTGCACCGTGAAAGAAATTGTATATGTCAGCACATGCAAATACACTATTTGAAACAGCTCCAATTTTCATTTGAAGACCACCAGTTTCTCAACTTTCCCCAGAAAATTGACCCCCAACTCTTATCCTTACACAAGCCTTTTGAACGGTTGATCTTTATTTTTTTTATTTTTTTATTTTCATCGCTTCCGGATGATGAAAAAAACAAGACTGCCCCAGACCAACTTCATCTGCGGGGTCAAGGTCAAATTTGTGGGCCAAGTTCTGCTTAAAGGGAATATACAACACTTGCACACATCAAAAAACAAAATTACCAAATTATCTAAAATACCTTACTTGACTGTTAAAGCATCTTGTGAAATCATGGCACCTGGTGTGCTGTCATTTTCAAGAAAAGTGGAATTTTTGTATCAATTTCCAATAATGGTTGGCCAACCATCGTTGGAGAAAATGGACTTTTTTCAAATACTGCCCCCAATTTGCCAAGTTTAGTTAGTCCACATTTTGTTTGCAATCGGTTACTCATCCGTGAATGGGTGCAAGCCAGTTAGTCTGGTTCCCTGACCTGACAACTCTCCGACATCTATAAAGTGCTCCGTTTCGTTTGAAGTAGGGTCAGGGAACCAGACTACCAGCACAGCACATTTTTCTTGGTTTTTCCAGCATCTATGAACGCAGAACTTTAAACAGGTCAGTGTAACACTATTTGTTATATAACATACTAACCCAAAAAATTGATTTCTAAAAATTACAGCAAAAGCAAAGGTTGTATATTACTTTTAAAAGGAATATATTGTATACAACTTTTGCTTTTGCTGTAATTTTCAGAAATGGATGGATTTTATTGGGGGGGGGTAGTATTTTATAGCAAATATTGTTACACTGACTTGCTTGAATTTTGTTTTCATAGATGCTGGAAAAACCAAGAAAAACAATCTTCCCTTTATATACCT